CTATGGTTAGATGAAAATTAACTAAACAATTTACGAACAATATAAATTTACAGCGTTGAATGTGTTAGTATTGTAGCTTATGTGAAGGAAATCTAATGTTTTTCACAATGTCACTATCACAGTTTTTTAAGTTTTTGTTGTTGCACGTCGCAAATTTGCATGCGGCCTGAGATGACGCCTTTATATTAAAAATTGCCATTTAATAGAGGTCCTATTTTCTCCTAATTTTAAAATTTATTGTTTATTTATCCGCCCAAAATACAAAGAGAGAAAATGAAATGAAATGCAGACGGTTGTGATCACGGACATCGGCATGGATCCCGCTCTCACTGTCGAGTCTGAAAAAAAAAATTTATATCATATATATATGTGCTAGATACTAGAAATACTGCACCGTTCATTTCTTGTTGCTATTTTCTATAAACTTTTTTACATTCATTGAGACTAATTTTATTATTATTTATTTAGAAGATAATTTACGTAATTAAAACTTGTTTCTATTTCTTGTTTATTGTATCTATTTTTTGATCAACCTTTTAACATGCACTCGGACTAATTTTATTATTATTTACAACACAATACACACAATTAAAGGTTTCCATGGAAGAGTTGAATAGTAAAATATCGTTATATTTGGGCAGAAATACTACTCGCATTACTCGACATTCACATTCTCAGTCGTATTTATGGCAAAATTTTAATTTTCTGTTTCAGATCACAACTTAATCATTTAACATACCATATATTTAGTACACAATATGTCAATTGATTCAAAGAGCATGGAATTGAAGCTGAAACTCACTTTGTGCATCGAGATTCCCGAAAAGTACAGTGCCGTTTCTCGTAGTAGTTGTTTTGATAGCAGCGCTTGAGGTAGTTGTTGTACCAGAGAAAGAGTAATCAAAATCACCACCATTATTATCACCCTCATAATCACCACCATTATTTGCACCATCGAAACCGTCTATTTCGAAAGTAAATTTATATTTGGAAGTTGTTGTGCTTGTCGTATCAACGCCGAGTTGTACTTGTGAGGAAGAATCAACAGAAGTTGTTGAAGGAAATTTATATATGGAAGTAGTTGTTGTGCTGGTCGTATCAACGCCGAGTTGTTCTTTTGAGGAAGAATCAACCGAAGTTGTTGAAGTTGTGTTAAATGTTAGATCTTGTAAACCGCTGCAGTTATGGAGGTGAGCGATCTTGAATACATCGAGCTGATGAAAATATAATGAATGAATTAATTATTGTTATATACACATTGAAGCACGCGTCTCCTCATTTGGTATTATAATAATTGATCAAGTTGTTGCGTCTTAATAGTTCTGAAGTTATGAGTATTCTTAATCTTGAATTCTTAAGAGTATTCATAATCTTAATATTTGAATTTACTTTGGTAAATTTGATAACTTTCAGAAACTTTTTAGGCGCCGAAATTCGTAATTTTTGTCATTTTTTACCCCAAATATAGTCAAACATAACCTGATGATGGGAAACGCTATGGGATAACATTTTCCTTGGGAAACGCAAGCAAAACAATTTACGAACAAACTAAGGAAAGTCTTAATATTTTATGATCAATATTTTTGTAAATAAAGTTCTAACTTGCACCATTAAATCTGACTAAAAGTTGTTGTGCGCCGTTATGCAATATTCTTATTCCCTAATAGCAATTCATATACAAGCAAATTATATTAAATGTTTAAAATTCGCAATACATTCCAGACTCATGAACAATTAGGGATAATTCCAGCCCTAGATACGAACCTTACTCAGGCGGCGTTTCATGGTCTTCGGGACTGGGCGGTTGGGATCTTTGGATGCAATTCTGACCTTAGCCAGCTCCCAGGCCAGGTCCTCAGAGATGTGAGTCGCTGACTCGTAGTCGTATTCTTCAGTTATGAGGGAAAAATAATTCTTCTGGTCCTGTAAAACAGTAATTAAACTATATTGACATCCAACACATAGTAGACATTGTCGATACCGTCAGCTGAGGTTATAACAACGTCCCTTTATATTCAACATTAGCCATAAGTTAGAAAAAGTTCTGTTGTGCGTAATGTTATCTTGCGATGATTTAGCGACCTAATTCATACATCGCTGGATATGTAGCAACACTGGCTTGATTGTTCATGATGTTGGTTTTAGTTCCATATTTTTTTACCACTCCACTGCTGTGCTATCTTCACAGCGAGAAAGTCATGAAATTTTGCGGTTACAGTGCAAGGTGGTTTGTGCAGGGTGGCCCAGCTAGTGGTTACAGTTCAAAGTACCAAGATTGGCGCAGAGAGGCGCGGGTTCGATCCCAGCTCTGTGCGCCAGTTTCTGGTCAGAATCGGCGAGGAGGCCGGGCGGTTAAGCAAAGCAAAACTGAAGCAGTGAGTTACGCGTTCGACACCGCAACAAGCTGCGAATGTTCTGCGATGTTAAGAATCGGCGACAGGCCTACGGCCTAATAAATGCTGAAACCGCTTTTATTATTATTATTATTATTATATTATTATTATCATAAACAATAATTATTGAAGAGCTACCTAAAGGAGAGTGTGTAACAATATTATCTACCGCATTTCGATTTATTAATTATCATTAGCATTTTTAATGTCAGGTTAGGTTAGGTTAGGTTAGGTTAGGTTAGGTTAGGTTAGGTTAGGTTAGGTTTTAAGGCTGTTACATAAGTTATTCACAAAAAATACTATTTTACAATTTAAGAATAACTTCCGCCCAGAAATTGTACTAACTTTGGCCCGAACATTAAAACAAATAATGATAATATAACAAAATTTATAAGATGACAAACAAAAAAAAGTGCAACTCTTCCTCAGAGGAAGATGATGTTGAGATGAGCTTATCGTCTGATGGGCAAATCAACAACTTTAATGATCCAGAAGAAATATTACAAGAAGCAGACATAATAATAATAATAATAATAATAATAATAGCGGATTCAGCGTTTATTAGGCCGAAGGCCTGTTGCCGATTCTTAACATCGCAGAACATTCACAGCATTTTGCGGTCTCAAACTCGCAACTCACTGCTACAATTCTGCTATGCTTAACCGCCCGGCCTCCTTGCCGATTCTGACCAGAAAGTGGCGCACAGAGCTGGGATCGAACCCGCGCCTCTCTGCACCAATCTTGGTACTCTGAACTTTAACCACTGGGCCACCCTGCATACTGTAGGCCTATATCTGTTCGCAGGCCCAATGATGAAGAAACGCAAGTTGAATTGAGACCTGAAGTCTTTGCTATTGATAACTTTGGAGTTGTTGAATAAAATGGACAGAATTACCCTGAGAAAGATGTAGGCTTATCTGAAATGACCTGCAGTTGAATGTACTGAAAAGAAATTTTAATTTTGGCGCCGGAAAGAGAAACAAGATCGCCTGATTCAACACCGGGCGGATGTTAATCAGATGATAAATCCAACAAAAAAACTTCAAAGTGAAACCAGTTCCATGTACCAGAACTAGGCATATATGTGTGATGTAAAATTAAAATGACTATTTTACACTGTAATACTTGTCATTAAAATGGCATTTGTTTCAATCATATATTACAATGTGTGAGAGTTTCCGAGATCAAAGGGTAAGAAGCTAATAAATTTTGTGGTAAAAGTATGTTGTCTAACTTTGAGCCAACCAATATCAAGCACAGGTTTCATTTCATTTAAAATTATGGAACAACGTTTCCCGAATTAAAAGTACTTTGATCCAAACATTAAAAAGAAATTCTGATAATATTGTGAAGTGATTGAGAGTCTCAAGAAGGTTTTAATTTAAAAATTGAAAGCTTTTTGCATAATAAGATACCTTGCAAATTATTATGATAAAAATTATAAAATATTGAGTTGGTAAAACTATGGAAAAGCGTTAAATTTAGGCCTATCTTTCGCCAGCAGACTTTTCCTAATCGCTAAATAATATCTATTTTCGATTTCATCTGCTGATTGTGGGAGAACATGAATCCAACTCGTCAAAGTCAAAGCAAAAAAATTAAATATTAAAATGTAGGATATTAAGTCATCCTGTTACTCTTCGAACGGATAAAGCGTAAAAATTTAACCAAAAGACATCTCATAAAACATCTTGAAGATAATGTTGAAACACAAAATTTAACGACTTTGGTATAGAGTTTAGACGAAATATCCGAAATATCTCTTTCAACTTGAGAACTCAGATAAGTTCATCCATTATATTCAAACTTTACACGAAGATATCAAACAAGAAAATTATAACTGTTATAATTATAAATCAATACAGGCTCTGCTCGCGAGAAGATCGTCCAGATTTCGAAAATACAGGCTCTCACAGCAGTCAGCGGTCTAAATGCATACAAAGAACTCCCTGCGGAAGAGACACTCTATCGATTCTGCGGACCACGATTCTTCAAAATTCTAGAGTATCAAATTTCTAAATCATATCTTCAGTTTTCTCAAGCAATTACTAAATAAATTCTAAAATCTACCTTTGTGAAGACTTCCATGTCACTGTCCCCGCTAGATGTTAGTGTGATGTACTTGTCGCGCTGGTATTGATTGTGTTCAGCCGGGAGACCCGCGAAGAACGCGAGGTATCTCAGGAAGCCAACTTTTTCGACGTCTTTATTGCCAAGCGCGTAGTAGTTGCCGATAGAAGACTCAGGCATTCCTGGCTCCATCATCTTGCGGCTGAAATAATATATTTTGGATCATATTTATTCAGGTAGCGCCATGAAATCAGGTTGCTGCAAGACAAATGCGTTCCTAATGCAATATGGTGAACCAGTCGGTCGATGGAAGATCAACCGCTTGATTAAGAGAGTACGTGACATATGGTGGAGTTAATTTATTTCAAAGTGTGAGCCTCTATGTATTGTAACACATATTTATTAGAAGGTATAATTAGTCTCAATGCTGTTGTAATGTTTATAATATGGTTAGTAAATTTCCTGACTGCATGCAGATCAAAATTTTCTACAAAGTTAAGAATAAAGACCACACAATAAAATTCTTATTATGCGAACACCACGATATATGCGCTCATTTGAACTCTCCTCGAATATAAAATGAAACCTAATGTACTTCTCACTAATATTCCCTATTCGGGACGTTGTAGACGTCCGGGTTGATCAAGATGCAGACTTCGCTGAAGGGCACCGTACACCTGATCTCCACGACAGGCACGCAGGACTGTCTGTTGAACTGCGCTGTGTCTTCACGCATGATCTGCTGCACCGCTTTTGCTGCCAATAATAGTATATAATAAATTCTTTGAGAAATATAAAACTATAAAAAAATAGAAAAGGAAGTTACATGTCCTCGCGGATGCGCTGCTATGCCATCGTTGCTGCCAGAGAATGGCAGCAAAGGACCTTTAAGAAAAAATTTAGAAAAGTAAAGAAAAAAAATGAATGTAGAAAAAAAACGAAAAATCTAATACACGCTGTTCGAAATGGCCATGAAAAGCGGTGTGTTCGGTGCTCGAGTTTTCTTTAATGTGGTATGAGTTTCTGGTGTTAAATTGAAAAAAACTACGACACGGTGTTTTTTTTCGTGCTGGCCAGTTACTGAAATTCCGATAAGACCGTACTTTTTCGGCGATTTTTCGAACAGTGGAAATGGTTAGGAATTTCTTTTATGCGATGAAAAAGAAGGTTGAATATCCAAAGCTCCACGCGTCTCCAAGTTGATCATCTTCGTCCCTGTCTGCAAAAAAAGAATGAACAAAGAATATCTTTTGTATGTAAAAAGTTCGTCATATGACTTCAAATATGTTTCTTTATCGAAGTAATGAAATACAACACAGAGTCATAGAACCAATTAAAAATACATTATTCCAATGATACGCGAGCTGTCTGTCAATAATGTCTTGTTCAACTCTTTCTTTACTGACGGCCATCAAATACTCATCGCGTTGATGCCGATTAATGAATCCCTAGACGAAAACTTGAATTAGTATTTGTCATGCATTAGTTTAACAAAAATATTATTCTAAATAATAAATAAATCTATCACAACCGTTGACTCCTCGATATTTCATCTTTGATTTTAGCCATCATATTGCAAAATGCACAGTCAATCCACGAAACTAATAATAACTAATAACTGCTATTGTGAATTTTATAATACCTGGCGATTAAAGCTAATTTGCATTATAATAAATAAATAAATAAATAGAAGAACATTTCCTTGTGTTGGAGCTTACAATAACTTCCATAGTTGATCTGTAAGGGGATTCGGTTGTTGATCCATTTTAATGGTTTCCATAATTCGCCAGCGACTGGTTGAGCGCGGAACCCCGCCCAAGATGCATTGGCTGGTTGATCTGTTTCCCACTGCCATTGTAATGAACTTGCATTAATAAAAATTGCATGGTTATATTTCATATACGTCTCATATCACTGATATTATTGTAAAGCTCCCTGTAGACTTTATGACCATTGCTGCATGATAACATTTCAAGCACAGGAGCGCAATATGCACACTTTAATTTTTTATTAATAAGAACTCAAGATTTATAACATTCATTTAATATTCCATGAGGAGTTGATAGCATACCGAGTAAAACATTCGTTTTCTCAATACTATATCACTTGACGTCGTACGAGACAGCACACTTTGTCATTTGTATCGTTATATGTGGCAAACAACATATCCTCGGCCTTGTTGTAGTTGTAGGGCACAACTCACCTCTTCCCTGGCGTAGTTATAGAGCACCACCCACCTCGGCCCTGGTGTAGTTGTAGGGCACAACCCACCTCGGCCCTGGTGTAGTTGTAGGGCACAACCCACCTCGGCCCTGGTGTAGTTGTAGAGCACAACCCACCTCAGCCCTGGTGTAGTTGTAGGGCACAACCCACCTCGGCCCTGGTGTAGTTGTAGGGCACAACCCACCTCGGCCCTGGTGTAGTTGTAGGGAGCTAAGCGGTTGTCGACGATGGTGAAGGGCATGCCTGCAGGCTGTGGACTCAGCGCACTGCACAGCTGCGCTATGAGCGGCAGTAGCAGGGGTAACATCTTTAATATACCAAAACTGCCGTTCTTGCTTCTAGTCGACTACTAATATATTCTTATTTCAATTATCAAATTTCAATTTCTAGGACATTGATCAGAACCTATTGGTACAATTAATCCTGTTCTTCGTAAATTCTTCAGTGCTGGTGGTGTATAGCGTGTAACCATATCAAACCAAAACCTATTATACAGATGTTTTTTACATCATCCAAATAGGGTTTTAGCCCTAATCTATAGGATGTCTGAATTTGTTTTTCAAATATGATTATTTAAATTTTCTCGAGAAAGTTTGTAATGATAGAGAGGTTCAACACTTAAATTCATTGCAGTTCTTTTATTTATGCGAAATTTATACAAATTGCGCGTCTGATGCAACGTACTTCTCATCCAATTTCAACTCAAAATATTCATAATACTTGTATAATTACGCACCACAAAAAGATCACTCCTCACAATGGCAATGCCAAGAAAATAATGAGATTAAAAGCTAGCGCAATCGACTAGCAACTGAGTTCCAGAACTGTAGATTCCACATCAAGCTGAACATTTCAATAAGATGTCTTGTTTCTTTTAAATGAAGCGTTCCAAGGAGTAAACATGTGTTGAATTGCCTCATTGTTTATTGTTGTACGCAATCGTGGGTTCACGTGAACAGCAGTCGGTTACAGGAAATGTCAGAAAACAACGCATAATGACGTTAAAGTTGGAACGCAAACTTTAGTTTGTATTTTTTTGTCAAATTCAACAAAAATGCAAAGTGAATAAACCATATACTATGGTTAGATGAAAATTAACTAAGCAATTAACGAACAATATAAATTTACAGCGTTGAATGGGTTAGTATTGTAGCTTAAGAGAAGGAAATATAATGTTTTCCACACTATCACTATCACAAATTTTCAAGTTTTTGTGGTTACACGTTATACAGTAGCTCATAGGAATTATTTAACAGTTCAAGAAAATTAAACACAACATTTTGTAGGGTTTATTTTGCAAGTTTTCTCGAGATTTTTCCCCAAGAGAGCCACACATGAAGCTCTCAGTTAAATAAGCGGGTCAAAACAGCGACGATATTTTTACCACCGTATGGGTCATCCTGACCGAGTTTGACCCAAAAAAAAAAGCGTATCAGTGCTACGGCGGCTCTTTGCTTGTGCTGTGACTAAGTAAAACGTGTCACTAATTGGACAATTTCGCCCACGCATTCTTCTCAGAGTCAGACGCTAGAGGAGACCTAAGCAGCTGATGACCTAGCTCGTGTGAAGGCATTAAAAAATGTGTTTTTAAAATAAAAAGTATAGGCAAGTTCAGCGCATATGAAGAATATGGAAATTTTTAGTGAAGATGTAAGGAAACCTAGATGAAAGCCTTAAGCTAGGTTCTCTAGTTAATTATTTAGCAGTACACTGCGAATGTTTTTCACTTTAAAATGATATGATGTTAAAAATGTTAAAATTAGGAATATAATTTTAGCTTTAAAGAGAGTTCTTGTTAAAGAACTCATCATTAGTTGAAAATATTTCTAATAACTAATTAGCAAGAGATAACTAAAAATAATAATAATAGTATTATTAAGCGATAATAAATAATCAGCGACAACAACAATTTTGAAAAGACAAGAAACTCGAAAGATAGCTGAATATATTTTTTAATTTAATCATCACTGATAACAATACCATGATCGATAATTCTTACCAATTCACTAGTGCGTTTTATTTCAAGTACAAAAGCTCAATCTCAATAAAATTTATGAAAGCATATTAAACACGGCTTTCTTCGCTTAATGTAATAATTTAGATTTTAACGCATCAACTGAAGAGCTAAAATGCAGAAAATGCTCAAATTTGTCAACGTTGTCTTGTGCATAAATAATTAATCTGTCCGACTGTCGTTACTCAGCTAATAATAATTACTTATCAAATCAAATGTCATTCACCTCGTAAATAACGCATTTATTCGCACAGTCATATAGTATTGCACAGTCATATAAATATAGATATTTGAAATGCGTTATTTAATGATAATAATGGTTAACATTGGAAAATTTAGAATATCTGAATGATTCTTTCATATCAAGTCACGTTAAAAGAATTCAGAATGAAATATTTGAAAAATGTATATAATTCTACACTGATGTCATGACAATTGCATTAACTTTAACTTTAGCTTTAACTTTTAACTCTACCTTTTTTTAACTTTTGGCTTTTAACTTTAACCTTAACTTTAACTTTAGCCCCATAACAAGTATTCAACAATTCAATGTCTATGTTATAAGTCAATTTGCAAATAAAGAAAATATGGCAGGATCCAGACGTTGATGATCAACTTCATGGGCAGAAACTGAACTGCCAGTGAAGAATCTGGGGAGAAGAGAAGCGAACGAATTTAGTTGCAAAAAGTAACATGTTCGTTTCTTATTCCAAAGATTAACATTATGACAGAATTAATTTTATTACTGAAATTATAATTATTAAAATGTTTTTAATATTAGTACCTATTTGATATATAATAATGAAAGAAGCAATTTTATAGTCACCATAAATCACGATTGATTGTTAAAAGTTGTATTGTGTTAAAACTCAGATAACTGTGATAGTTCATAAAATTATTAGTAATGATGGTATTGTTTGAGGAATTGAAAAAATAGCTGCTGATCGTTATAATATATCCCACATTATATTGATCAGAAATGGCAAATTTCTATTTTAGTAGTTTTAATACACTAGGAATAGTGCACAATCTATCAATTTAGTTTGTACAGTTTAAAATTAACGCTTTGCCAATTATTCTATTCCGCTTTCGGAGTTGATTAAAAGTAAAATGATATATTCATTTGCTCCGTACATCTTACGACACACTATATGTTTGAAACATTTTAGGAGAAAACTCGTCTCATCCCAGGCGTAGTTGTAGGGCACAACCTACCTCGTCCGAAGTGTAGTTGCAGAGTTGTAGGGTATAACCCACCTCCTCCCTGGCGTACTTGTAGGGCACAACCCACCTTGTACCTGGCGTAGTTGCGGGGCATAGCCCACCTCGTCCCTGGTGTAGTTGAAGGGCGCAACCCACCTCGTCCCTGGTGTAGTTGTAGGGCACAACCCACCTCGGTCCTGTGTAGTTGTAGGGCACAACCCACTTCGTCCTTGGTGTAGTTGTGAGGCACAATCCACCTCGTCTCTGACGTAGTTGTAGGGCACAACCCACTTCGTCCCTGGTGTAGTTGTAGGGCACAACCCACCTCGGCCTTGGTGTAGTTGTAAGGCCTGTCTCTTATACACATCTAGATGTGATAGTTTAAAATTAAAGCTCACTTTGCACATTCCAGTTTATCAATTTAGTTTGTACAGTTTAAAATTAACGCTCACTTTGCACATTCCAGTTCCAGAGCAGCCTGGGGTCGTTTTCTGTAGTAGTTGGCTTGACGGTTGACGTTGTAGTTGCGTCAGAAAAACCAACACCAAAATCTCCACCATCGATTCCGTCAATGATGAAATTAAAGTCAAATCTGGTGGTAGTTGAAGTGGAAGAAGTGGTGGTCGTGGGCTTTTCAGTGGTAGTGGTAGAAGTAGTCGTAGGCTTTTTAGTGGTAGTGGTAGATGTAGTAGACGTGGGCTTTTCAGTGGTAGTCGTGGGCTTTTTCGTGGTAGTCGTAGAAGTAGTAGTCGTGGGCTTTTTAGTGGTAGTCGTGGGCTTTTTAGTTGTAGTCGTGGGCTTTTTAGTGGTAGTCGTGGGCTTTTTAGTGGTAGTTGTTCTCTCGTTACAACCGTGAAGGTCAGCGATCTTTAACATGTCAAGCTGCAAAAGATTATATTCATGTATATTTTATCATCAAGTGCAATAAATCAAACACTCGATTCTAAAACACTTCTAAAATTTCATCATAAAACAATTTCATGTCTGAAATCACTGAGTATAAAGTATATGAGGAAGTTTTCACTAAATTTTATACTCAAAATGAGTGTGTCGTGACAAAGCTTAATAGAACAAAATAGTCTTTAACACATATATAACATAACAAATATAGAAAAATATTACTATACAAGACTGTTAAGCTCTTTTTAAGGGGGCACAGCCGAAGACCACAAATTTTGCTCTTAAACAAGCCCTGGAGCCAACGCCCAGCCTTACCATGCATTAACTTTACTCAGCCTTAGAGTTTGAAGCCGCAGCTAGACTACGCTTGAACTCCGTAATCCAGACAAGCGACACACTGCCGAAAGATAATAGCGCCGTAGGTCTTCAGCCAATGATTAAGCATGCTCGCTCATAAGATGGCAGTTCCCCATCCGGCTGTACCTACTCCGGCCTAACCTCTTCTGGCCTAACTTATTCACGCTGTCCCGGCTCACAACCTTCTTGCAGCCAATGACTGGCTCTACCAGCTCACTTGGATCGCCTTTCTAACTTTGGTAATACTTTAGATTAAGTGCATCCAAAAAAGGGTGTTTTTTAATTATATGTTTATTGGGGTGTAGATTAAGAATCTGAAATCCGTTTTTGGCGGTCGGTATCGGAAATTTTTAATGGAACCTGTACCTAACTGGACCTAACCTGCAAGGTTTTCGTTGATTGGCTAGGTTTTTCCGGCCGCCGGACGGACTCCAACATAGAAAAAACCTAGCCGATCAACGAAAACCTCGCAGGTTAGGTCCAGTTAGGAACAGGGTCCGTTTAAATTTCCGATGCCGACCGCCAAAAACGGATTTCAGATTCTTAATCTACACCCCAAAAAACATATAATAAAAAAACACTTTTTTGGATGCACTTAATCTAAAGTAATACACTAACTTTCTGCAGTCAATGAGGTTAGGTTAGGTCCGCTCAGGTTTGTTTTGGGCGAAGAAATGTTGCAACTTGTGTAGGTTAGTCTTGAAGAAGTTAGGCCGAAAGAGGTTTGGCCAGGTGCAGTATGTCCCTGCTTATCTTCAGCAGGGACATACTTTTCAGCAGGGACATACTTCAGCAGGGACAGCTTTTTTTATGGCTGTGAAAATCCGGCGCTATGGCTTTGAGAACTTGACCTCATAGGCTGTCATGCCCTGTACATTCTTACCAACGGAAAATAATATGAACAAGTGTGAAGTTTGGCAAAACTGGCCTCCGGCATGCGCCCCAAAACTTTCCTTTGTTGGGTTGATAAATTATAGTGATAAAGTATTCCTACAACAGAATTCAGTTGGATTCTGAAATTGCGATAGAAGGGGGCGCATGCCGGAGACCAGTTTGCCAAACTTCGCACTTAGTTCATATTCCATTCCGTAGGTAAGAACGCTAGACGGCATAACAGCCTATGAAGTCAAGTGCGCATAGCCATAGCGCAGGATGTACACAGCCACAACTTAAGCTTGCTAAAGGTAAGCATGGCCATACTGCATCTGGCCGTTCCTATTCCGGCTTAACCTATCCAGGCCTAACCTGCACAAATTGCAACATTTCTCCACCCAAAACAAACCTGAGAGGACTTAACCTCATCTTATTGGCTCCAGGAAGTTGGATAGGAGGTCCAGAACTGTCTGCTTGTGAGCGAGCGTGCTAAGCATTGGCTAAAGACCTACGGCGCTATTATCTTTCGGCAATGCGTCGCTGGTCTGGATTATGGAGTTCAAGTGTAGTCTGTGGCTTCTAGCTCTGAGGCTGAGTAAAGTTAATGCATGGTGAGGCTGGGCGTTAGCTCCACGGCTTTTTTAAGAGTGAAATTTGTAGCCTACGGCTGAGCTCCCAAAGTTTTGATATCTGAATTACCAATGTCCACTAATACTCACTCAAAAGGATTTTTATTGCATCACTGCTGAATTACATTAAATTTCGAGTCGTCAGGTGCCATTATCAACCTTAGTTTCCTTAGTGTTTGTTTGGGACGAAGCAGTCCCAGGCCACGATGGATGGCATGATGCACACGACTCGCACATATTATAATTTATTTGATCCACTTGAAATTTACCGCACTTTCCAGACTGGTGCACATTTAGGTTTGATACCGGCACCATACCCGCCGGGTACCTGCCAGGCATGGTCCCCTCCAATATTCTTTAATTCATTTCTGTTATTGAAGCCTTCACACCAGCCGTGTAACGCTCCTGCCATGCCAGGCACGGTCTAGCCACGATCATGAAAAAAGATATTCTGACCGAGACGTGACTACAGCGTTGACTACTATTATTTTCATTTTTGCCAAGTATACCAGGCTGCCAGCTTAACATACCTGATTGTAGCATAAATACCGGATCAAAAATATCCATACCAGACATCATCATCTCAACATACCAGATTTGTGAAATCTGCTATGGAAATATAGCAGTTGCCAACGCTGTGGTGACTGGCATGGCACGTGATACGAAAGGAACTGAAGTGAATACGGCCCGTGACCGGACTGAACATGTGAATGCACCTGTCAGGAAACTGACCGTGACTGGCACATGTCTGGCACGTGCCGGGCTGTATGGTGTGAATCAGGCTTTAACCCACTATACCGCCGTAAGTCACTCTCCGGGAACATAACTTTCAAATGAAATTATACGTAAACTATTGAGTGTAGCAACCCAAGGACGTTTGTACGCAACAGATAATATTTTACAGTAGTCGTACGTGGCGGCAACCATCAGTACAAGTCATTTTGCTCTCACTAGCAACGTATCCATTTTGGGAAGTAGGCTTTTGACAATATTGCTCCGGTTACTGATGTCAGGTGGCAGAGGGTTAAAGGAGAATTCCAGCTTAAGGAGAAATGGTACGAACCTTACTCAGCCGTCTTGGTATGGTCTTCGGTACTGGGCGTTTGGGATCTTTAGATGTAATTCTGACCATGGCCATCGACCAGGCCAAATCCTCAGAGATGTGAGTTGCTGACTCGTAGTCGTATTCTTCAAATATGAGGTTAAAATAATTCTTCTCATCCTGTAAAGAATGTTTTAAACTAGAATGACATCCCACACACAATGGTCAACGTCGACATTCAAATTCGACAATGTCCTTTATATTTTACGAATTGATAACGATTGGGGTAGAAAAGTAATAATACCAGTCAAAGTCAAAGCACAAAATTCCAAAAGATGAAATAAAATTCAACTGATGACAATTTGGATTAGTTACGCAAAGCGTTCTGAATTGAAATGCACCATACAAAATATCATATCAATCCTGTTGAGGGAGAATTAAGAATTCTGTTAAATTTAAAATTGTGATATATACTTTCAAAATCTGGGCAGACCTTTGCGCTGAGCAGGGCCTATGGACTTAAGACGTTACGGCATTAGACACTTAACTTCTTAGGCTACTCAGACCCTTAGCGTACTCTATCAAGCATAGGAATATGATACAAAATGTGAGGTTTGGATTTGCATGCCTGAAGCCAGCACTTAGAATCACATATGAATAAATGCCCGACAGACTTGAGAAAACTCGTCATGAGCTTCAGAATAAACGTGTCTAGAGCAGCCAATGGTCGGAGCGCACACTTAGAAGTGCCCCGGAAGAGAAATTTATGTTTAAAATCTACCTTCGTGAAATATTCCATGATACTGCCCATGCTGGGTGTTAGCGTGATGTACTTGTCTCGCTGGTATGAGTTGTGTTCAGACATGATACCCACAATGTCCATGAGTACTCTCAGGAAGCCAGCTTTCTCAACGGCATAATTGCTAAGCTCGTAGTAGTTGCCGATAGAAGACTCAGGCATTCCTGGCTCCATCATCTTGCGGCTGAAATAATATATTTTGGATCATATTTATTCAGGTAGCGCCTTTGTGTTCAGCCGGGAGACCCGCGAAGAACGCGAGGTATCTCAGGAAGCCAACTTTTTCGACGTCTTTATTGCCAAGCGCGTAGTAGTTGCCGATGGCTTCAGTGGGCATTCCCGGCGTCATTACCTTACGGCTGGTTGGAAATATAGTGTACATCATACGTACATGTGATCAATTTGCATAGAAATAAGGTGCAAAAAACCTTTTTATAACAATAACATTTTCCCTGACAGGGGAAATGTTAAAATTAAGCAGACAAATCATTTCATTGCCAATTTATCTCGAACTTTCATGGTACAGGAAAATGGAAATATAGTGTACATGTGATCAATTTGCAGAAATAAAATGTGTAAATAACATTTTCAGAACAATAACATTTTTCCTGGCAGGGAAAATGTTAAAATTGAGCAGACAAATAATTTCATTGCCAATTTATCTCGAACTTTCATGGTACAGGCAAATGGATATATAGTGTACATCTGAACAATTTGCAAAGGGAAAATGTGCAAATAACATTTTCAAAACAAAAACATTTTCCCTGACAGAGAAAAAGTTAAAATTGAGCAGACAAATCATTTCATTGCCAATTTATCTCGAACTTTCATGGTACATGAAATTTTAACCCTAAATATTTCTCACTAAACATCGATTTTGAAGATGTCGGGGTCGGTGACCCAGATGCAGGGAGAGCTGTAGGCCGGCGTGCACCGAACCTCCACGACAGGCACGCAGGATTGGCTGTTGAACTGCGCCATGTCATCGCGGATGCGCTGTTGCACTTCATTTGCTGCCAACAATTGCATAGAATAAATTATTTGAGGAAGGAAAACTGCGGATAGGGGAAAATTTAGAAGTCTTTGCGGAAGAACTTTTGCGTCTTTAGCTGCCAACAATTGTATGAAATAAATTCTTTGAGGAAATAGAGCTTCGGATCAAGAGAAAGTTAGATGTCCTCGCGAAAGCGCTTCTGCTCCTCTTCGGCTTTCAACAAATAATATTGAATAAATTTTTTGTTAAAAAAGAGGGAATTGTGTTGTAATCTAATCTACTAAACTCCTAAATTATAACCCACTAAAAGAGGTTACTAATATATACATCAGACTTGGATGATTCACATATCATAAGAGGTGATTAAAGCTGCGCAGTGTCGACGCGGATGCATGGGCTCGTCTGCCACAGTTGCCGTCATCGTGAGAAAAATATTAATCTTTCCTATATAAAACATAGTTACCTTCATCGCTAAGGGCGGAAAATGCATTAAAGAAAATGTAAACTATGCTAAAAGATTACTTTTTTATTTCGTTGCACATGTGCTTCTGCTTAAGTTTCCTGCGATGTTGATATATTTTCTTATAGCAAAGGGAAAAATACAATACCATCGGCGGTTCAATGAACAGAACCCAGAAAAAAATATACGTATGTGGCAGGTAGGTAGGTTAAAATCAGTAGTTTGTCGCTATGAAGAGTGCACGGTAGTTGGTATCAGTTTAAGAAGTTAACTTCTAAAGATAAATTAGAATGTATGAATATGGGTCGGGGGCAACCGATCCACCTTGTCTGTTGTCCCTCACTCGTCCTCGCGTGTTCTCCAATCTCTTCGTTTTAACCTCACTAATGTTCATACTAATGAACATACTAGTACACCGATCTTACTACGAAATAATATCAATAATTTCGATGTTACAAGGGCTGAGGACTATACTCAACGTACATAATCAAAAACCCAGAGGCTCTGTAGTATAGAAGTTCTGTCTAAAGAAGTTTTCCACGGGTAGTGACGCCTTCAATTGACCCTCAGTACCTATGCCATTTTTTCTTGAAGTCCTTGTTGTCAATCAAAACTTCCGTCATTTTTATGTAGTCAGATTTTCTAGAAGATCTACGCTAGATATGGATTTTGAATAGAAATATAAAAGCGAAGAAAACTCCACAAAAATTCAGCATTTCTCTATTGAAAACGTTTCGGAGACCAGCTCCATCGTCAGTTCGATAAATCTAGAAGATTCTAGATTTATCGAACTGACGATGGAGCTGGCCTCCGAAACGTTTTCAATAGAGAAATGCTGAATTTTTGTGGAGCTTTCTTCGCTTTTAAATTTCTAGAAAATCTGCGATTCAAGCAATCTAGTGACATTATTACTAGATTTTGAATTTCGTACACTGAAAAATTCCCCGGCGAATTGAAAAAAAACGATTCCCTGTTTCACTACAATTGCATAATATGCTGACGTCGTCGTTCTCAATGAACGTCTATTACATCTTATAGATAAATTCGGTCTCCAACCTTTCCTCTTGTAGCACTGCATTGTCGCTTATCGAATATTAGAATAATATTTGGACTACGCGATCATTTTTTACCTTAAAGAATCATTTCATTGATGCCATAAGCCATAGATCGATTCTAAAGTAATTTAAATGCTGGAAAATATATCAGTTCAGATTGAAGTTTATACCCAGAGTTGCCTCATACATGACAAAATAATTTAGCTATATACCTTAACCTCGAAGGAATTGTATTGCCAATTTCAGGATTTTTCAGCTTACAATAACTTGGATAGTTGATCCGTAAGAGGATTTGGTTGAGGTGCCAGGGCGCAGGTTTCCATATTTCTTCAGAAATTGGTTGGCTGCGGAACTTTGCCAACGACTCGTTGGCTGGCTGAGAATCTTTCCACTGCCATTGAATTAATTATTCATTTAATTAATATTTATTTTTTTATTTCTTAAAGACTAGCATCTCATTTCAATCGAACTATCGTCAAACTCGTGTTTTAATAATCAGAATTTAAAATGGGCTCGCAGGTACAGGGTGGAGCAGAACCGATTGAGCAGTTTTGAAGCGAAATAAAAGAATAATGGAGATACATAAAGAAGAAAGTTTATTTTCCTCGAGGTTAGCATAACATACCATTTAGAATGTTTATGTTTTGAAAATAATATCAATAAGATGGTGGCTCACACAGCCCGAATGTTACTCAATATTTGAGTAACATTCATGTTACTCAAATCACGTAACATTCATGTTACGTGATTTTGAACGCATGTTTTCCGGACGGCTGGTGTCTCTGATGGGTGACTTACAGAGGCCTGCGAGGTCACCTGATTTGAGCATTTGCGATTTCTTTCTTTAGGGACATTCAAAAGAAAGGGTGTTCAGAAGTCGCCCTCACACCCTACCACAGCTATAAGGGAACGGATTATTGCAGAGGTTATGGCCATACCTCGCCATATGTGTGAACGTGCTGTAGGAAATTTCCGAGAACGACTACAACAGTGTGTTGCAGCTAACGGCCACCATCTTCCTGATATTGTTTTCAAAACATAAGTATTCTAAATGGTATGTTATGCAAACCTCGAGTAAAATAAACTTTCTTCTTTATGTACCTCCATTGCTCTTTTATTTCGCCTCAAAACTGCTCAATCGGTTCTGACCCACCCTGTACAATTACAACGCTGGAGCACAATATCAACAACATGCAGTAAAAATAACTTGCCTATTTTTTGTGTGGTGAATGATAGCCTTCGTGCCAATTATTCTATTCCGCTTTCGGAGTTGATTAAAAGTAAAATGATATATTCATTTGCCCCGTACATCTTACGACACACTATATGTTTGAAACGTTTTAGGAGAAAACTCGTCTCATCCCAGGCGTAGTTGTAGGGCACAACCTACCTCGTCCGAAGTGTAGTTGCAGAGTTGTAGGGTACAACCCACCTCCTCCCTGACGTACTTGTAGGGCACAACCCACCTTGTCCCTGGCGTAGTTGCGGGGCACAGCCTACCTCGTCCCTGGTGTAGTTGTAGGGCGCAACCCACCTCGTCCCTGGTGTAGTTGTTGGGCACAACCCACCTCGTCCCTGGGGTAGTTGTGAGGCACAACCCACCTAGTCTCTGGCGTAGTTGTAGGGCACAACCCACTTCGTCCCTGGTGTAGTTGTAGGGCACAACCCACCACAGCCCTGGTGTAGTTGTAGGGCACAACCCACCTCGGCCCTGGTGTAGTTGTAAGGCACAACCTACCTCAGCCCTGGTGTAGTTGTAGGACACAACCCACCTCAGCCCTGGTGTAGTTGTAGGTCACAACCCACCTCAGCCCTGGTGTAGTTGTAGGGCACAACCCACCTCGTCCCTGGTGTAGTAGTTGTATGGCACAACCCACCTCAGCCCTGGTGTAGTTGTAGGGCACAACCCACCTCGGCCCTGGTGTAGTTGTAGGGCACAACCCACCTCAGCCCTGGTGTAGTTGTAGGGCACAACCTACCTCGGCCCTGGTGTAGTTGTAGGGCACAACCCACCTCGGCCCTGGTGTAGTTGTAGGGCGTTAGGCGGTTGCCGACCTGTCTCTTATACACATCTAGATGTGTATAAGAGACAGCATCACGACTTTGAAGTTGGAACGCATCACGACTTAAAGTTGGAACGCATCACGACTTAAAGTTGGAACGCATCACGACTTTGAAGTTGGAACGCATCACGACTTAAAAGTCGGAACGCATCACGACTTAAAGTTGGAACGCATCACGACTTTGAAGTTGGAACGCTTAAAGACTTTAAAGTTGGAACGCATCACAACTTTAAAGATGGAACGCTTAAAGACAGTGCAATCTTTAGTATGTAGGTGCTATTAAATTCAGGTAGAATGCATAAGTAGTCGTCCGATATATAGTTAATCAACCCTACAATGGTTAGCTGAAACAACTTAACTTAACTAAACAATATTAATAAACAGCTTTTAATGGGTTAGTATAGTAGCTTAAGTGAAAGGAATCTAATTTTTCCACACTATCAGCAATCACAATTTTTTAGGTTTTTAAGTTTTTTTTAACGCAGAAATCGCCATTATATATTTCTACTTTGAGGGTTTTCTTCGAATTTTAACACTTCATTGTTTATTTATTCGCCAAAAATGCTAAGAAAGAAAATGAAATGCAGATGGTGGTGATCACAGCCATCGGCAGGGATCCCGCTCTCACTGTCGAGTCTGAAAAAAAGGAAAAATGTATATCTAATGTGTTAGATGCAAGAAATTATCCACTGTTTGTTGTCTTATAATTTTTGATTAACATTTTACATGCATTGAGACTAATCGATAATTATTTATTAACGGAATAATTTCCATGGAAGAGTTGAATAGTAAAATATCGTTATAAAATATCGTTTTTAGTCGCTTTACAGTAAAATTTTTATTTTCGGTTTCAGATCAGAACTCAATCACTTTGAAACTTGATTTTATTTATTCCAGCTTACACACCATATGTATAGTACACAATATGTCAATTGATTCAAAGAGCATGGAATTTATACTGAAACTCACTTTGGACATCGAGGTTCCCGAGAAGTGAAGTGCCGTTTCTCGTAGTAGTTGTTTTGGTAGCAGCACTTGAGGTAGTTGTTGTACCAGAGAAAGAGTAATCAAAATCACCACCATTATTTGCACCATAAAAATCATCACCATTATTTGCGCCATTGAAACCGTCTATTTCGAAAGTAAATTTATATTTGGAAGTTGTTGTGCTGGTCGTATCAACGCCGAGTTGTTCCTGGGAGGAAAAATCAACTGAAGTTGTTGAAGTTGCTTTTAAGGAAGAATCAACCAAAGTTGTTGAAGGGAATTTATATATGGAAGTAGTTGTTGTGCTGGTCTTATCAACGCCGAGTTGTTCTTTTGAGGAAGAATCAAAAGAAGTTGTTGAAGATGTAGAGGAAACCGTTATATCCTGTGAAGCGCCGCAGTTATGGAGTTTAGCGATCTTGAGTACGTCGAGCTGATGAAAATATAATGCATTAAATAAATTAATGGTCGTTATAGGCGCTTTAAAACACCCGTCTCCTCGTTTGATTTTATAATGATAGACCAAGTTTTTGCGTTCTAATACTTTTGAAGTTGAGAGTAATTTTACTACACATCTCTTTACCATTATTTCTTATTTGTTTGTTCGTTTGTTTGTCAGCTTTAAATCTCATAATCGATATTTAACACATTTCTAACTGTCCAAACGATCTGAAATTTTGCACACTTGCGTAAAGTCGTAGACAATGCTTGAATCAATTGATAGAATAAATAATGTAATAATTTTTAAACATTTTTTAATATTAAAATAATTGAAAAAAAAAATAATTTTTTTTTTAATATTTAAAAATAGAATAAGAAATTCAATGTACATGTGGTAACATCGGACTCTGGCCCCATTGTAATTTTCTTACGCATATTATTAATTTTTTAAATATACTCGGAAAATTTGCGTGGAAAGTTATTCGCAGAAACTTTTTTGGCAACGAAATTTATTGAAATTACGCTCCTTCGTCATTGAGCTTTTCCTTGGGAAATGCAAGCAATATAAATTACGAACAAACGAAGGAAAATCTTATATTTTTATGATCATTATTCTTAAACATGAAGTTCTAGCTTGCACCATTAAATCTAAATAAAAAATTGTTGTGTTCCGTTATGAAATTTTCTTATTCCCTAGCAGCAATTTATATACAAGCAAATTCATATTAAATGTTTAAAATTAACAACACGTTCCAGACCACGAACATCTAGGAATAATTCCAGCCCTAGATACGAACCTTACTCAGGCGGCGTTTCATGGTCTTCGGGACTGGGCGGTTGGGATCTTTGGATGCAATTCTGACCTTAGCCAGCTCCCAGGCCAGGTCCTCAGAGATGTGAGTCGCTGACTCGTAGTCGTATTCTTCAGTTATGAGGGAAAAATAATTCTTCTGGTCCTGTAAAACAGTAATTAAACTATATTGACATCCAACACATAGAAGACATGGTCGAATCGACCGTCAGCTGAGATTATAACAAAGTCACTTTAGATGTAACTTTAGCAATAAGTTAGAAAAAGTTGTGTTGTGCTGTAATGTTATCTTGAGATGATTTAGCGACCTAGTTCATATCATGGTTGAACATCGCATTCAACCATGGTTCATACATCGCTGGATTTGTAGCACTACTGGCTTGATTGTTCATGATGTTGGGTTTAGTTCCATATTTTTCGACCACTCTAGTCTTCACATCGAGAAAGTCATGAAATTTGTGTACACTTAACTTGTACTTGTAAACAATAATTATTGAAGAACTACTTAAAGGTGAGTGCGTAACAATATTATCTACCGTATTTTTTATTTTATTAGTAGTTTTATCAGTATGTATAAGTATTTTTGATATTTTAAGACTGTTACATAAGTTATTCACAAAAAATACTATTTAACAATTTCATGACAACTTTCGCCTAGAAATAAAGTTGACTTCAGCCCAAACGTTTAAACAAATCATGATAATATCATTAAATTTAGAAGACAGACAAAATAGGTGCAACTCTTCCACAGAGGAAGATGATGTTGAGATGATATTAGCGTCTGATGGGCGAATCAACAACTTTTCTGATCCAGAGGAAATATTACAAGAAGAAGCAGACATACAGTAAATCTGTTCGTAGGCCCAATGATGAAGAAACACAAGTTGAGTTGAAATCTGAAGACTTTGCTGTTGATAAATTTGCAGTTGTTAAATAAAATGGACAGAAATACCCTGGAAATCTGTCGGCTTATATGAAAAATGATATTCAGTTGAATGTATTGAAAAATAATTTAAGTTTTCAAGCTGGAAAGAGAAACAATATCGCCTAATTTACCACCTGCTGGATGTTAATCAGAAGATAAATCCAGCAAAAATAACTTCAAAGAGGAACCAGTTCCATGTACCAAAACTAGGTATATATGTGTGATATAAAATGACTATTTTACACTGTCAGATACAATACTTTTCATTAAAATGGTGTTTGTTTCATTAATTTACTACATTATATAGGGGAAAAGCTAATAAATTCGATGTTAATTAAATTGTATCTATTCTAACTTTAAGCCAACAAATATCTAACTCAGGTTTCATATTATTTAAAAGTATGGGGCAAAGTTTCCCCAATTAAAGGTTTCATAATTTAGCTCAAACATTAAAAACAATTTATGATAATATATTGCAAAGTCATTGAGAGTCTCAATAGGATTTAAATTTGATAATTAAAAGTTTGTTTGCACATCTAGATACATTGCCAATTAATATAATAACACTCTTAGGATATTTAGCTGGTAAAACTATGGAAAAGCGTTAAATTTGGGCCAATCTTTCCCTAGCTGGTGGTTTCCTAATCGCTGAATAATCAAAATTTTCCATCATCAATAGACGCTGATTGTGGGAGAACGTGAATCCAACTCGTCGAATTCACATCATAAAATATTAAGATGTAGTTTATAAAATCATCCTGTCACTCTTCGCACGGATAGAGTGTAAAACTTAAAAAATAACACTTCATAAAACACCTTGTAGATCAGGTTATGGCACAAAATTTAACGACTTTGGTTTGGAGTTTAGACGATATGTCTAAAACATCTCTTTCAATTTGAGAACTCAGGCAAGTTCATCCATTACATTCAAACTGTACACGAAGATATTAAACAAGAAAATTATACTTATTATAATTATTAATCAATAAATGCTCTGCTCTCAAGAAAAAGCTCATCAAGATTTCGAAATCATATGCTCTCACATCAGTCAGCTATCAGGGTGCATACAAAGTACTGTCCCCGTAAGAGACCTTCGTTGAACCATGATTCTCAGAATTCTAGATAATCAACGTTCGAAATCTTATCTTCAGTTTTCTTGAGTAATTGTTTGATTATTGTCTACTATTGCAATACTAAAATCTACCTTCCTGAAGACTTCCATGTCACTGTCCCTGCTAGGTGTTAGTGTGATGTACTTGTCGCGCTGGTATTGATTGTGTTCAGCCGGGAGACCCGCGAAGAACGCGAGGTGTCTCAGGAAGCCAAATTTCTCCACGTCTGATTTTCTAATGTTGTAGTCGTAGTTCCTGTCGTCAGAGGGCATTCCCGGCGTCACTACCACAGAGCTGGTTGGAAATATAGTGTGCATGTGATCAATTTGCACAGATTACCCCTTGAAGTGAAAATGTTAATATTGGACAGACAAGTAATTTAAATACCAATTTATCACGAACTTTCATGGAACAAGAAATTCTAGCCCTAAATATTTCTCACAATATTTGTCGCGGCCGGCTATACTCTTCGCGACGGTCGTTCCATGAGGGGCGCACCCAGATGCAGGGTTGGTAATGCTGACATCCATAATCGACCGGCACGCAGGATTGGCTGTTGAACTGCGCTATGTCATCGCGGATGCGCTGTTGTCCCTCTTTTGCTGCAAACAATTGCATGAAATAAATTCTTTGAGGAAATAAAACATTGGTTTGGGAAAAAGTTAGATTTAAGTGCGGAAGAGATTTTGCGTAAAAAAACTGCGCTGTGACTTGTCCACGCGACAACATTTCTTCTCGCTTTGAATCACCGACATGTGGAACAGCCTCCCTGATTACATCGTTGGCGCTCCGAGTATGAACAGACTGGATAAAGCTATGGAAAATATATGTTCAGATGTGAAATGCCTGGCACCATATCGAACCCGGTGGAAGTCTAGTAGCTACTTCAAACTATCGTCAGTCATGAAAATATCCGGTCAAATGACAAGATATTAGATCTATGAACAAGGCACGAAAAGTTCAAGATTCTGCGACAGGCTACATCAGGCCTACTCTTTAGCGCCGACATGACTATGTTATGTTATGTTATTAGAAGGTGGCTTAAATTTTACGCATTTCAACCATGCCTAAAACTGCAGAATTTTCTGAATCATCATGAAAATCAATTATTCAGCAACACGGAGATGGTTTGTGAAATATTAAAATTTCATCTGAGTTAAATATCGCACTTTCGACAGTTGGTGATACTGTTCGGAGGTGGAAATAATTCCATCATTCGAAGAGTGCCTCGTTCAGGCCGTCCTACAAAAATGTCTGACAATACTTGGAGTTTAGTTCGAAAAGTAGAGAATAATCTTCGACTGCCTCGTTCTGAACTGGAATGAGACTTGCAATCAAGTAGGACAAATGTTTGCACAAATGCAATTAGGACAGTTCTTCGAGAGAGAATATTCCACTCTCGGTCACCAAGAAAAACCCCTCTCTTGACGGAAATTCACGTAAAGAACGCCGGAATTTTGCTAAAGAACATGTGAGTAAACCTTCAATCTTTTGGGATAAAATATTATGGTCAGATTAGACTAAAATTGAGTTGTTTAATCAGAACTGTGCCAGTCTAGTTTGGAGACAGAAGAACTCCGCGTTTCACCCTAAGAACACCGTCCCAACAGTGAAGTTTGGAGGTGGCAGCATAATGCTTTGGGTTTATTTCTTTTCTGCAGGCCCTGGGGAATTGGAAATCATGAAAGAAAGATCGATGAACTCCGAAATATATTGGGGCATTCTTGAGAGATGTTTCGTGAAGGCAGCCGAAAAATTGAACCCTCCTCGAGGTTGGATATTCCAACAAGACAATGACCCTAAGCACACGGCTAGTGCAACTCTTGAATGGTTTCAAGAGAGGGGAGTTATTGGAATGTCCAAGCCAATCCCCTGACCTCAATCCAGTTGAAAATCTGTGGCGAGAATTGAATATGAGGATACAGGAGAGAGATCCAAGTAATCTTATTCGATTAAAAGAAATGCGCAAGGAAAAGTGCTCTAAAATTCCTATTAGCATATATGTTAATCTTGTGAACAAGTATTCCAATCGATTAGGAGCGGTTTTGGCTGCTAAAGATCAAACGAAAAAGTATTGAGTGAATTTGCTCACTATGTTTTGGGTACTTTTTGAATCTTAGCTCTTGCACCATTGTAATTATCAAGTCAACATTTAATGACATTGTTGTATTGATATATTTGTATTTCTAATATAAACTTACATGAGAATAGTGTTTGTTTGTTATTTTGTTGATTAAGTTTTAAGGGGTGCGTTTGGCCAAAATTTTTGAATTTTGGCTTTTCCGGTTTTTAGTCTCATCTTAAAGCTGACATTCTGCTCCATCCAACGGTACCAAAATCATCTCTGTACGCTGATTTACGCGTTCATGACTGATCGCGAAAGGGTGGGGGGTGGTGGAGTTCTTTCACATTTAAGATAGGCGGAAATTCCCGGTAGCATACTTAAATAACTATTCCACATACGATGTGCTTCAGTTATCCGCCTGCAGTTGTACGGGTGGGTTCGCGTGTCGTCGTTCACACCATCCTTGACAGGAATTGAGCTCCAGTATCGCCTAGTCTTGCATTCTTGCCACCTTGAACGCTTATTTCGAGGCGCCCGGGACTTTGTCGAGCTCTACTGAACAATTAACTTATTGTCACTGCAAACCTATCTCCTCCTAGAGTTTTCCAGTTACAGCGAAGAGACATATACCATTCGATTCGCAAATTGAAATATCTAGAGATTTGTCGTAGTTTTTTTTCAATTTCGTTATAGTTTTGAAAATATTTTGACAAAAGGGAAGGGAAATTGGGGAAAATCGAAAAATTTTCGAAAATTTTGGGAAAAATGCTCCCACATCCACAAAAATTCGCAATTCGAAAAAAAACTACGACGAATCGATAGATATTTTGATTGCGAATCGAATGGTATATGTCTCATTGCTGTAACTTCAAAACTCTAGAAGGTAATAGATTTCTACAGTACCCCCTTTTATGGCCGTTTTCTAAGAATTTCACGTTCTCTTTCATTTTTTTCGAAAAATGGACATGAATAAAAGCTGTCTTTTTTTCGGTTTTACTTATGTGTACCAAGTTTCAGAGTGATCAGTCTGTAAACAGCCGAGATAAAATTTTGCCCAGACGCTCCCTTAAATAAAGTTTTTCCTTTATGTCGGATACTTTTTGCACCCACTGTACATCAGACTTGGAATATTCACATGACATAGTAGGAGATTAAAGCTGCGCAGTGTCAACGCGGATGGGCTTCTCTGCTACAGTAGCTGTCATCGTAAGTACGTTATACATTTTTCTTACAGAAAACATGTAGTTGCCATCATCGCTAATGGTGGAAAATGCTTTAAAAGAATAAAAATTATGCTTGAAGATTAATTTTTTCATTTCGTTGGGAAACGCAGGCTTACGCAGCCGTGCACCACCAAATTTGTGCATCAAACAGCGCTGAAATATAAATATGAAAGATCCACCAATCAGGCCGGAAATGGAAATATGCCTATAGCATATTTCCAGATAACCACCAATCAGCCGCGAATTAAGCCATGCGTCAGCAACCAGCCCTCGACATCATCTTGCTTCAAATATTAGGAGCTTTACGCCACCTTATTCTGATGCGAATAACCCTGAGTGTAATGATCGTCCACCACTGAACGTTGGTTGCATCGAATCATCACAGGTGTCCCAACAATAGCGAGGTTAAAATGAAGAGTCCAGGGGGACGCCTGTCGGAGACCACCATTGCCGTGCTTCGAATGGACTATCATGATCCCTTTCCACAAGAACGTAGCCTATAACACTTCTTGACTGTAACATTATCAGCCGCAAGCCACCAGACAAATCACATCCATTGAATTAGATCAATCAGCCCACAGGAAAGTAGCCTGACGCAGTATGGCCCAGCATCGTCTGCCAATACGAGAAGAAAATTTACACCACCCGGACGAAGCGCGCCGGAGCCTTACCACCCGGACGAAGCGCGCCGGAGCCTTGCTCTCAATATGATGCCCGTCAGTATCTGTCCAGTGTGTCGAATCAGCCTACCATCGAACGGCCACTGGTCGAAGGACGATAAATTTTGGAACAGAACTATGCTATCTGAAACGTAACCCCAGATGCTACGAGCTAAAAGTTACGTAATTTAACTAAGATGTGGAAGTCACTCGTCGAAGGATGATAGATTTTGGAACAGTACTATGCTATCTGAAACCTAACCCCATATGCTGAGCTAAAAGTGACCGTCTGGTGGTGCACGGCAATATTCATGCAGTTCCACTGGCGAGCTGGGCTGATTGGTCGCAGTCCATTTTCCGCTAGTTACAGTTCGAGCTAAAGTCAGGGTATGAAGTGATGATTCGATGCAACGCTCAGTGGTTAACGATCATTACACTCTGGGCTATTCGCTTCAGAATATCGTGGCGTAAAGCTCTAGATATTTAAAATATGATGTCATGGGCTGGTTACTGACGGATGGCTTATTTTGCGGCTGATTGGTGGTCATCTGGTAATATGCTAGGCGTTCCTTTCAGGGTTGATTGGTGCATAAATTTGGTGGTGCACGGCTGCGTTCCCTAAAGGCTCTGTAGTATGGAAGTTCTGTCTAAAGAAGTTTTCTACGGGTAGTGACACATTCAATTGACCTTCGGTACATACCCAATTTTTTGTTAAGGTCCTTGTTGCCAATCAAAACTTCCGTTATTTTATGTAGCCGGACTTTCAAGAAGATTGACACGAGATATCGATTTCGAATTTCGTATACTGAAAAATTCCCCCTTCAAATTGAAAAAAAAACGATTCTCTGTTTCGTTACAATTGCCGATTATGCCGACGTCGTCGTTCGCAATGAATGTCTATTTAATCATAAAGATGTATTCGGTTTCCAACCATTCCTCTTGTAGTGCTGCACTGTCGCGGACTTTTAGTAACACAGTCACTGAAGTGCCTTGAACGCTCATTGAATATTTGAATAATATATGGACTACGCGATCATTTTTTACCTCAAAGAATCGATTGATGTCATAAGCCATAGATCGACTTGAAATTAATTTAAATACTGGAAAATATAGAAGAACAGATTGGAGTTAATACAAAGAGTTGCCTCATGCATGACAAACGACAAAATCATTAAGCTACAAATCTTAACCTCGAAGGAATTGTATTACCATTTTCATAATTTTTATGCTTACTATAATATTGACTTCCGATATGTATGTAGATTCTTCCGCGGCGCCAGGGCGTAGGTTTCCACATTTCTCCATAGGTTTGTTGGCTGCGGAACTTCGCCAACGACTCATTGGCTGGTTGAGATTCTTCCCACTGCCATTGAATGAAATAATTATTTAATCGATATTTATTTATTTCTAAAAAACTAGCGTCTTGTATCAATTGAATTATCGTTAACTTGTTTTTTAATATTTTGACTATATGCTTACGTACATGTACAATAACAACTCTGGAGTACAATATCAACAACACTCAGTAAAAATAATTTTCCTATTTTTTGTGTGGTGATGAGTAGCCTTCGTGCCAATTACTCTATTCTGCGTTTTAAGTTGATTAAAAGTAAAATGATACCTTCATTTGCCCCGTACGTCTTACGAGACGCTATATGATTGTTACGCTTTAGGAGGAAACTCGTCTCGGCCCTGGTGTAATTGTAGGGCACAACCCACTTCGTCCCTGGCGTAGTTGTAGGGCACAACCCACCTCTTCCCTGGTTTAGTTGTAGGGCACAACCCACCTCGGCCCTGGTGTAGTTGTAGGGCACAACCAGCCTCGGCCTTGGCGTAGTTGTAGGGCACATTAACCCACCTCGGCCCTGATGTAGTTGTTGGGCACAACCAACCTCGGCTCTGGTGTAGTTGTAGGGCACAACCCACCTCGGCCCTGGTGTCAACCCACCTCGGCCCTGGTTTAGTTGTAGGGCACAACCCACCTCGGCCCTGGTGAAGTTGTAGGGCACAACCCACCTCGGCCCTGGTTTAGTTGTAGGGCACAACCCACCTCAGCCCTGATGTAGTTATAGGGCACAACCCACCTTGTCCCTGGTGTAGTTGTAGGGCACAACCCACCTCGGCCCTGGTGTAGTTGTAGTGCACAACCCACCTCAGCCCTGGTGTAGTTGTAGGGCGCTAAGCGGTTTCCGACGATAGCGAAGGGCATGCCTGCAGGCTTAGGACTCAGCGCACTGCACAGCTGCGCCAACAGCGGCAGTAGCAGGGGTAACATCTCTAGAATTACGTATTCACAGAAGCTTTCTTTACTCGCTAATTTCAATTGAATTCCCTACAACAGTGAAATCTGTGAGATGTACGTATATTTATTAGGTTAAGGACCATACGGGTCACCGTTACTTATTAAAATCCGCTACTGTATTATTTCATATTCACATTGTTTTCTTTAAATGTGTTGCAGCAATCATTTTAAATTGGCTTTCGGCAACATATCCATAATTATGTCCACAAGTTACCTTTTCTCTCTATTTTTAAACTGAACTCCCTACAACAGTGAAATCTGATAAAACTACGTAGACTGTACGTTTGTAGTCTTTTGCAGTGTTTTATTCTAAATCATATTGTGTCCTTTTAATTTGCAACTGCAAGCGAAAAAAATTGTTGTCCAGAATACTAAGTTTCGCTGCGGATAGGATATTTACTCGACGTTAAAAATATTTTGTTTCAAAGTATGGTTATTTATGGTCATATCATTTTCAATTCTTGAATGAATCCTACATGAATCCACCAAATTATGATTAAACTTCGCCCCAAACATTCATCACTCCTTACAATAGCAATGCCAAAACGTTAATGAGATTAAAAGCTCGCGTAATCGACTTGCAGCCAAGTTCCACAACTGTTGATTACACATCAAAGCAAGATACGTCAATACGACGTCTTGTTTCTCCTCGTTGAAGCGTTGCATGGCGTAAACTTATGTTGAAATGCCTCGGTTTTGTTGATATACGCAATCACGCATTAACTGGAATAGCAGTGGGTCTCAGGGAAACATGCTATTATATGACATCGTGGAACGACTTTTAAATTAGAATGATTGTGAGTGACATTTTTTATTCAAATAATTTAATTCAAATTTGAATCGTTAAATATTAATTTGATTGCGAACAAACTCTGCTATTAAACGGTTACAAAATAAAAATACAGAGTTCTATTTTATTTATTAATTTGTGTGTGTTGATATTTGCTCACTTAGACGCGAACTGTGTCGAAAAATTTATGAATATTTTATACCTATTTGACTGCACCAAATTTTGCGCCAGGGAAGTAAAACAGGATTTTTGGCAATACGAATGTAATTTTTTTCCAAGCGACTGTGTGGAAGTTTTAATATCCGGACAGCACGAGAACAAATTTAAGGGATAGAGTTTTTACTTTTTTAAGTAGGCGATACTCCTGATTGAAACCGATCTTGAAAGAATTGTTTAATTTGAAATTAGAATATATCGTAGTTATATTCACAATTGTATTTCAGAGTGAGAAGAGGATCAGCACCAGCACTGACAGGTTGAGGGTCGCTGCGGACGCCTTCAGTCCTGTAAGAAGTTGCAGGATTCTGAACACGTTTGGAACATGTTTGATTGAAAACACGTAGAAAGAAAATCTCTCGAAAACATATATATTGGAATCATTTCACTTACAAATAACATGATCTCATATATTTTCAATCATTTATATACATAAATATATACGTTTATCCTCAGATAATCGTTGGGTTATCTATAAAAACTAGAAATGTACTTCCTTAGAAGTTCCCCATTGTCTCAATTTAGCAGCAATAATGTCACAAAAGCAATTTTCTCTTTTAATGATATTCAATTGAATTATGGTCGCATAATTGAGCTTGATGTGTCATTAACTTAACTCCCGCTAACAAAACATATCGAGTATTTGTTCATAAACACAACAAACCACAAACGGATGCGTAGTTTCTATCATCGATATGAATCAGGTCTTGTTCAAGCGGATCTCCTCCTGGTCCTGTATTCGTGGCCATCTCGTTTTCAGAACTAGCAACATCATCCGGAGCCATCGGGACCAATCCTATCGGTATAAAATTCAGGAGCTATCGGGTATAAAATTCCATACAATTCATAAAATATAGCAGTACTTAGTATTTAAGTCTATCTAGTTTACATGGCTTTATTGATGTTCGCAAATTACTGGGAAATGCGTTGCAGTGAATTTTTGGCGGGGTATAAGTTCGAAGCTTGAATTTCAAATGTTATCTCATAGCTAAGAAACTGAACACAAGCTCCAAGCAATAAAATACCTCCAAAGACTCGTTTGTTATTTGTTTTATTACTAATATATACTGCCCAAGCACGCATCATTTTATTCTGCATGTAATTCAACATATTTTTGGCACTATATATTGAAAATAAAATGTACGGTTTCATTTGGACAGCGATTTAATAACGCTAATGGATCTGAAAAATTTTCACGAACGATATCTTATCTCTTCATATTTATAGACATCACTTTTTTAATAATGTTGCCTAAGCTCATGAGATTTATTAAAGTATTTTGGTGTTAACCGAACTGTTATTCCCTTTCTGAAAATAACAGTCGCGTTTATTTTAAGAAAATAAATAAACGATATACCACGATATAACAATAATGCACGATATAATAATTTAAATGTCCCAAGAAATTTCAGAAACAGATGAGCGCAAATTTATACCTATATTAGTTTTACGGTGTTTTACCTTGTCGTCGGAGCATCACTTGCTTACCCAAAAAGGCCTGATCAGGAGAGACTTTGCTCGATTTTCTCATTTGTTGATAGGTAAATTTTATTCCTGATTCCGGAAAGATTTTACCGCAGTACAAGAAGTTCACTTTCGCTGCGTCCATCTGGAAATATAAGTAACAATTTTTATGAAGCTGATAATAATCAATTTATACATGGTTCATTAAATTTAAGCCGCTACCATAAAACACAAAATTTGGCATTTAAAATTGCCATAACTCAAACACCTGAAGATGTCTCAAACGGCAACCGTCTCACATAACTCTGAATACCATGGTAAAGAAGTACGTTTAAAATATAATAAGCAAAGTAAACGTGAAACAACTGATGACCTTGGACATTTTTCCCGTGTACGATGACCTCAAGGTGGAGTTTCGGTGGCGGGACGACAGCGCGATGTTCCAGTATCGCGCTGCGGCAGCGGACATTTGCGTCGCCGACTCCGCGTCGTAGCTGAACATTCGGTCGACAACACTCGGTACGTTCTGGACCATGAGAAGAAGGCAGGAGATGGCATTAGTTACACTTTAACAAAGAGGAGAGTGACTTAGAAATTAGTTAATTTGCGGTGGACCACTACCGGCACATTCTGGACCTGTCTCTTATACACATCTAGATGTGTATAAGAGACAGGCCATAGATCGATTCTAAAGTAATTTAAATGCTGGAAAATATATCAGTTCAGATTGAAGTTAATACCATACATGACAAAATAATTTAGCTATATATCTTAACCTCGAAGGAATTGTATTGCCAATTTCAGGATTTTTTAGCTTACAATAACTTGGATAGTTGATCCGTAAGAGGATTTGGTTGAGGTGCCAGGGCGCAGGTTTCCAAATTTCTTCAGAAATTGGTTGGCTGCGGAACTTTGCCAACGACTCGTTGGCTGGCTGAGATTCTACCCACTGCCATTGAATTAATTAATCATTTAATTAATATTTATTTATTTCTTAAAGACTAGCATCTCATTTCAATCGAACTATCGTCAAACTCGTGTTTTAATATACAGAATTTAAAATGGGCTCGCAGGTACAGGGTGGAGCAGAACCGATTGAGCAGTTTTGAAGCGAAATAAAAGAGTAATGGAGGTACATAAAGAAGAAAGTTTATTTTCCTCGAGGTTAGCATAACATACCATTTAGAATACTTATGTTTTGAAAATAATATCAATAAGATGGTGGCTCACACAGCCCGAATGTTACTCAATATTTTGAGACGCATGTTTTCCGGACGGCTGGTGTCTCTGAGGGGTGACTTACAGCTAGTGGCCTGCGAGGTCATCTGATTTGAGCATTTGCGATTTCTTTCTTGAGGGACATTCAAAAGAAAGGGTGTTCAGAAGTCGCCCTCACACCCTACCACAGCTAAGGGAACGGATTATTGCAGAGGTTATGGCCATACCTCGCCATATGTGTGAACGTGCTGTAGGAAACTTCCGAGAATGACTACAACAGTGTGTTGCAGTTAACGGCCACTATCTTCCTGATATTATTTTCAAAACATAAGTATTCTAAATGGTATGTTATGCTAACCTCGAGTAAAATAAACTTTCTTCTTTATGTACCTCCATTGCTCTTTTATTTCGCCTCTAAACTGCTCAATTGGTTCTGACCCACCCTGTACAATTACAACGCTGGAGCACAATATCAACAACATGCAGTAAAAATAACTTGCCTATTTTTTGTGTGGTGAATGGTAGCCTTCGTGCCAATTATTCTATTCCGCTTTCGGAGTTGATTAAAAGTAAAATGATATATTCATTTGCTCCGTACATCTTACGACACACTATATGTTTGAAACTAAATGGCAATAGTTACACTTTAATAAAGAGGAGAGTGACTTAGAAATTAGTTAATTTGCGGTGGACCACTACCGGCACGTTCTGGACCATGAGAAGAAGGCAGGAGATGGCATTAGTTACACTTTAATAAAAAGGAGAGTGACTTAGAAATTAGTTAATTTGCGGTGGACCACTACCGGCACGTTCTGGACCATGAGAAGAAGGCAGGAGATTGCATTAGTTACACTTTAATAAAAAGGAGAGTGACTTAGAAATTAGTTAATTTGCGGTCGACCACACTCGGCACGTTCTGGACCATGAGAATAAGGCAGGAGATGGCATTAGTTATACTTCAATAAAGAGTAGAGTGACTTAGAAATTAGTTTATTTGAAAATAACACGCGGTCGACGACACTCGGCACGTTCTGGACCATGAGAGTAAGGCAGAAGTTTGCATTAGTTACACTTTAATAAAGAGTAGAGTGACTTGGAAATTAGTTTATTTGAAAATAGCACGCGGTCGACAACAGCACGTTCAAGACCGTGAAAATATGGCAGGGGATGGTTTAGTTACACTTTAATAAAGAATAGAGTGACTTAGAAATTATTTTTTTAATATATTCAATGTATACATTTTTATACATGTTGAATAGTATATTATTAAGAATATCTTAGAGCAGTTGAAATGTGTTCAAATTGGCTCAGACACTACAAGTGTATAGTGAGAAAGCGTGAAATGCAATACAAGATTAATTCACTTAGAGAATAAGGAAATTGGTCTTACTCTCTGCCTATAAATTATTTAACTAAGTAGCAATTACTGGTAATCTTATTTAAATAATTTATTCAATATCGTTACGATTAAAAAGTTCGAGGATTACGGTTCATTCATGTCCCTAAAACTATCAAACTTGCTCACCTCAACATTTACGTGCTGCTAATCGGATACAAAAACTTTAAATTGCAAACATTAATAAGTAGGAGCATCTACCGATCTTGAAGTGCAATTTCTATTTCTAGATAAAAATTTATAAATAAAAATTAAATTCGTGGACGATAAAAATTGAAAATTAATCCTTACCAAGACAAATGCGTATGTAAACATGTTCCCCGACTTCCTGAAGCCATGCTGTAAATTTCTAAACAAAAATTAAATTCGCGAACCTAACCTAATAAAATTGAAAATTAATCCTTACCTTGACAAATGCGTATGCAAACATGTTCCCCCAGCTTCTTGAAGCCCATGCTCTAAATTTATAAATAAAAATTAAATTAGCGAACCTAACTTAACCTAACCTAACCTAATAAAAATTGAAAATTAATCCTTACCTTGGCAAATGCGTATGTATACATGTTGCCCAACTTCTTAAAACCCATGCTGTAAATTTATAAATAAAAAATTAAATTCGCGAACCTAACCTAACCTAATAAAAAATGAAAAATAACCCTTACCTTGGCAAATGCGTATGTATACATGTTGCCCAACTTCTTGAAGCCCATGCTGATGAACATGTCTCTGTCATGGCGCACTTCCTGTCGTGACAGGCCAAGAACCTGCAACACGTGGCCCAGGACGCCTTCTCTCTCCACGTACGAGTTTGGCAGGAGTATTTGAACGACGCGTTTGGGATCAGGAGGGGTGTTAGGGCTCTGGACTTGGAATAATGTTGTCCTTTCACTCGGCCACGCAAAGCCTGGAGTGAAAGGTCGCGAACTGGAACATAGAAGAATTTACGAATATAATTAAAGTAAAGAATGGGATGAATTGTTCTTTAGGTTCAAGAACAGACTAGACAAGGCCATGCCGGAGCATATGTTTAGTCTTAAAATGCCTCGTACCCTACGGAACAATTGATATCTAGAAGCGATTTTAAATCTACCGTCAGTTGAAAAGATTTGATCAAAAGGCCAGTCTAGTCAAGAAAAGTACAAGAATCGGCGACAGGCCTATCCAGGCCTATTCTCTAATGCCGAAGATACTATACTATACTACTATACTAGTAGTTATAGTTTCACCTGTGGTGAATAGACTCGTGTATTAGAATGGTAACTGAAGTCAGAGTTAGGCGGTTTATTGTCGCGAGTAAAAGCAACGATTCTCTGTAAAAATGCACGTTGATTGCATTTCGTAAAGCCATGAGTGAAAATACTTGGTCAATAAAAGGAGGGTTCAGGTTTTAAATGATTTCTGCTAAATTAGTTGATGCAACATCAAAAATTTTGATAAGCACTTTGCAACAAATTTTCGCTAAACAGAATGATATCATGCAATGATGTATTGCAACAAAGTGAATTGTGAATGAGTTTATGTCATGCAGATTATCAATATAAATTCCCATAATTAGCATATACCTAATTAACTCACTAAATGAGCCCGAGGTACTTCAAGGTGAGAAAACAATGATTCGGCACAGGCCTCAACTTCAGATAAAAGTCTTGGTCGACCAGCGGGGTGAACTTTACACAGGTTTTCTCCGAGAACTGTTTTAACTCGGCATTGATTTTCTGAAGTGCCAAAGATGCTGGTGAAAAAATTTACCAATTAATTCTTCCACTGAACTGCGAAGAAGAAAAACAGCAAACTTTCGACAGAAAAATAGTTAAGGCACAAAATTTAATCCTACAATTCATATAAACAATTACTCACTGGTGAAAGCTTACACTGTAGGATTAAAATTTTCAGAATAGAAATAAACCTTGACAATTTACGTAAACATTCATTCAAAGAAAGTAAATTCAGGATATCTGAAACCATATATTTATAACACCTACAACGGTCAAAAGTTTGTCAAATAAAACTGACTTCGAATACAAAACATAAAATCATTACATTTGTATATTCCTGTTCACCTAACGGCAGTAATTAACTTTTAATTAAAACAAATTTTGTAGAAATGGATTTCAATGCTATTTATTTACGTCTTTGGTTTTGCTATCAATAAGCCGGAATATAATCATTTGGCATAAAATTGCACACTATTTTTGCACACTAAATATGAGCCTCGAATATATTCTCTGAGAAATAACTTAAAAAAATCTGTTTAAAAGTTTCATAAAAATACTCACAGAAGCCATCGCTGATCACGTACGGTATGACAGAGGAAGGCCAGAGCTCCGGCTCAAACCCTTCTCCCTGTGACGACAAATGATGAATAAAAATGTGTATGCAATATTCAAATTAAATTAATTTATTCGATATATATAATATATTAATAAAAATAATAATGAAAAATGCTGTTTCTGCATGAAACTCAATTCTCACCTGTGTTTCCCAAGAAATAATAGCAAATTTGGATTAAAAATTTTGTAGTTATCATGCTAAATAGCTTATGGATTTTTTCTAATAATTACTGTTATATTAACAACAGCACTAAATAGAGCTATTATACAAATAATTGAAAAATAGAATGTGCGTATTATCGTTTGAATGTCTAAAGTAATTCGATATTTGGGAAAATATAAATCTAACAGTAGTAAAAAAACTAGAAATGCGAAACATTAGAAGTGAGTATATAAAAAATAGCGATGCCGTGAGTGAAGAAAAATTAAAAAAGAATTCAATTGAATTCTCAAGAACTTTCATAACAATTTCGTCACTGAACAATTTTGAAGCTAAGTCAGAAGGAAGACGTTCAGTACCTGATATTGCGAATATTTATTTATTATTTATATTATTATTATTTAAAAAATCAAGGATCAAGGAAGCTAGAATTAATGCTCGTAACGGTTGCGAAGAAATTATTTAGTATATGGAAATATAGAAATAGATATAGGAGATAAAATTATAGATAGATATAATATATAAAAACAAAAAATATACCTATATTTTAAATAGAATAAGAAACAATTTACTGACACACGTGACGCTGGGATTCCGCGGCCTGTAAGCCACAAGGAACTCTGCGATAGCGGAAAGCTTCAATCCGCTGGTTTGCACTGCATTCCGCACCACCTAATAAAAAACAGGAAACAGAAGAGAATACTGAACTAAACATAAGCATACAACTATCTTAAAAAAATTATTTCCAACTAAATTTGCTGATTTGCGAAAGAATCGGATTAATTTAGTAACAAAACCAATTGTCTTTACAATCGTTCGGTACATCAATGAAGAACTGCCTTTAGGCAAGACGAAATTATTGCAAAATCATTGCAGGCGTAGAATTGTTATTGTTAATGAATAAGAGAAATTTGTACGAAGCTGAGTATTGTTTCTGAATGCTACACTGCCTTTGGGAATGTAATATTCATTGCTGCTCAAGTCTCGGCTATTTACGAATGTAAAATTCAATGAAGAAAAATTTCTCCATCTCACCTCCGTGAAAGGAACAGAGTTTAGCGGTTCACAGTCTTCACTTGAGTGCACGAAATTCTTCACTTCCAGTAAACTAAATACTAATAGGAAATTGAACAATGTTTGTGAAAGCATTTTATTTATCACGAGGTCATAAAATTTTGTCACATAATCAAAGTTATGATTAGAATCGTCTTGCTTGAATATAATTAATGTGGATTTGATTTGTGTTCTTCAGTATTCGCCGGCGTATGTAACTATGAATGATGATTGATCTAGAATTCTAGATGAAGGATGCAGGTATTTTCTTTGAGTTGTAACTATATATATTTAATATGTAAAAAATAAGTTACTCGTTAGCTTGTAATAAATTTTCTTTACACCGGTGATAGAGATGCTCACTGCGCGGTCGCTTGACGCAAACTGCATTATTCATTTATTTTTTACGGAGGTTTTGAAAACAGTCGTTACAAAACAGGCTGTTTTCTAGGATGGTTGAGAAGAAGCTTTCTGCAGAAGATTGCGTTTTAAACTTTATAATTTAACAATAATTGAATACTGTTTTAGAGGTGACAATTTACTAAGGTTTCATGTTGAAAAAACTATAAAAAATTTTATGATAGAAATTATTTTTTAAATGATACTTATCTTTCTGAGAGGTGATACGAGCCGCTACTCTAGAATAATATGTCCGCATAAATTATTCTGTGCGAGTTTATGAACAACTAAACACCTAGCATTTCCTATCATAGGTGGATGTCACGAATAAATGCATATCCTACCGCAGTTGTTCGTAAAATATTTGTTGCTTGCATTTAAAACATAATTTTTGCCCTTCGGCTTTATTCGCTTAACTTATTCTTCCCATGTAACATTGTATATATTTATTTTTAACTTATTATAATCATTATTATTATTATTAATTATTATTTTTAGAGTTTCGAAATGGTTCATGTCTATCTACGGCCATGTATATTATTCAAAATTTCATTCATCACTAAGGATGACATTATACACAAAGTAATAAATTTTCGGTACTCTGATACACTAACAAAAGAAAAAAAATCGTACGAAAACCTTATGCTTAGAAAAATTGAAATATAGTATGGTAAATATAAATCTCAACAAATGGCATTGTTAATTAATGTTATTGACTATTGAGGATATCATTTTATTGATTAATATATTTTTTATTTGCTCATTTTTACGAATATTCATAAACTCCAACCAGTGAGAGTTTTATAAGGAAGTCTGTCCTAGTCACTGAAAAGTAATGGCGGCCACTACAACTTGTCAATACCAACAGCCACTAACTTTAACATTCCTAGTACTGACTTCGTGCTCAATAGCTGCATCTGTAGCCTGCAACTCCAGCAGAACACGATAGCGCACAAACTTGGTTATAAGTCACGGTTATTATTGGTAAGTTAAAGTGGACGCCTCTATATGGCCTCACAAATGAGGGCCTTTTAGAATTAGATACTAGCAGCGACTTGCATAGTATCTAGTCATACGGTCTAATTGACACCGACTCTGACTAAACGACATTAATTAAGGTACTATATGTGCAGTTTGTGTGCACCTACAGATTAGCAATACGATTACAGTTTGTCTTACTCAATGTAAGAAAAGATATTATAAATGAGCTAAACAATTAAATAATAGGTTGACACATCAACTTTCTAACAATTCAATGGCGTTAAAAAAAACTTGAAATCGGTTTTGGAGCCGAGAACAAAGTTTTAGAAACTCATACATGCGGAGAAGGTTCACAAACTTGCGTTCTCTTCCCGCCCTCTATACAGGGGAGCGTCCGCGTTGCAGGTCTCGCCAAGAAACCGCTTATTGCTCAGCTTCTAGAGGTCAGCATTCAGCAACTACTACTTCAGCTGTGACCCGCCTGTGAGCTGTTCAGCAGTTGCTGTTTGACCGCCACGGAGGAAGGTTGTGTGCGATTAGGCATTCGTCTTTATGTACGAGCGAGAGCTTGATTCTCAATATGAAGTACGAGTATCAAATGAATGTAGCTGATGAACGGTGAAAACCCGTATTGAAATTCGGTAAGTAATTTTAGTGTTTTTACTCTGAATTTTTGAAATTGATTTTTCAAGAGTTTTGTAATGGGAAAATTGTTGTATGATTGGGTAAATTTTATAGCTCGATTATAAATTATTATTAGTTTTGTGAAGATAGGTTAACAATGAATGTAGTTTTATAATTTTATTGTTAACTGACTTTACAAGAAGTATGAGCGAGCAGTGAGTATTAAACTCTGGGTTGTCTCTAGCCGGCTCTTACTTAGATAGAAGCTAGAGGTTTGGCCGTTTAGCCGGCACTGCCTTGAATAAGCCCGTTTAAACTATAAATCTGTAATAAAGGTTTAGTATCAGAGTTAGGTACTAAACGTTTATCAAGCAGTAAATCCAAACTTAACGGGAGACGATGAGATGATGATGTAATCAGGCAAATTATTTCCATTTAACCGTTTTTAGCAATTAGCAGTGCTACTATACTGATCCCATTTGTAAAATGAAAACATTCTATACCAAAATCCGTCGCGGGGTGCAAGCCTGCTGGCTGCCTAGTGCCTAATGCAATAATTGATCAGGTTTGAGTAGGCAGCTAAAGTTGGGCAACTTGCCAACTTGGGAATAAAATGTCACCCGTTATGTTAGTTTTTGTATATTTATGCATTGAGTTAATTTAGCGATTTTAAGAGTGAAATAAATCTGTTATTTAGAATCCTAATCAAGCAGAAATAGTAATTCCAAGAGAAGTTTAACGTCGCGCCGTTGAATTGTTGGAAAGTTTTTTTGACTTCCTAGTACCGTATTTTATTGATTAGCTAATTTATTTTTTTTTTCTTACGGTGACTAAGAGAAACTGTAATCGTTCTGCCAATCAGTGGGTGCAGTGTCTTAAATGTGGTTACTGGTTAAGTCAGTCGGTGTCAATTAGACCCCATGACTAGATACTATGCAAGTCGCTGCTAGTATCTAATTCTAGGAGGCTCTCATTTGAGAGACCAATAGTGGCGTCCACTATAACTTGCCAATAATAACCGTGACTTATAATCTTCATCTGCCGAAATTTTTAAACACATTCTTAAAACTGCTGATATTTTCCGAAATTCGCGGCAGGATTAGGAAGCTGACCGCGCGGGTCTTCCTAGTTAGGAGTTAAAGACTGCATACCTACTCATCAAGTCTCGATCCTTAGCCAATAAATATATTCACTGTTGTGCGTACGTTTGAATGGTTACCGACCACTTACTAGTGACCATACTGGCGTCAGTATTTCAATTATATTAAATGAGACCGACTTGGAACACTAATTTATTTAGAATAAGGAATATCACTCGGTTTTCATCTGCACTATCCTTTTCAGCTTTCGACCATGACGAATGTTTGTCTGATGTCTGAATAAATTTAGGTAACATATGAACTCGACATTCATTGCAAGCAAACAATTTAATTGCACTTGTCAAGTACCTCGAATCTGAATAACCATTGGGGGAGAGCAGAATCGCATTCTTCAGTAAAGTGGCTTTTATTTAAAGTTTTTTCTCATAGTTTATCACCTAAAATCTCGATGAATGAAGACATTCTTATTTTACTCCTAAGAATAAAACCTTTCTATTTCCATAGAATCTTTTTCGCCTCCGCGAACTAAATTTCTCTTTTTTTCAGCCTTTCAAAATCCTCCCATTTTTGCCTCTGTTTTTTCCTCCCAAACAATACATTTACGCAGCTATGCGAACTTCACTGCTCTCTCATTCTCATGAAGATATTTATTCGTAGGTGCAAGCGAGGTTTCCTCTTCACTTGGCGCATGATTTTTCCCCTAGGTTTCCACAGACTTCGTACCTAGCATAAACAGCAGCGTTCGTCGGACGCCAAGCGTAACGCTGCTTGTGTCTAGCAATTTTAGAGTCCAAACTCTGGAAGAAACAAAAGCAACTACGTAGGATTCGTAGTATTCTTTCACAATGCTTGCTGAAACCACTCGTAATTGTTTTTCATGATCCCTTTCAGGACATCTTTAGCAGACTATGGCACTAAGAAAATTCGTTAATGTTGAACTTCGTCGATCACTGCGTGCTTTCGCTAAAAAGCAAACCTAGGTAGGTATCCATCAGAAGAAGCATTATGAAACCTGGTGGTGGCATTTCACTATAGCTATTCATCATTAAAACATTTCATCGTTATACCAATTAAACATAACCGTAAGATTTCATCATTGCATAAAGTGGATTTGCAAACATGAGTTCATGTGGGTTAGGTTAAATTGGTACATGATGGAATGTACCACTGATTGAATGTCTCCCATGTTGAGGGAGACCAGACTTCACAAATCGCTAGATTAGCCTTCTCCAACTCTCCTTTCCTTGTGTCCGAAACTAGGTTCCCTGAACCGTTAAGCCTAACTGCCAACACTCCGACGTGAGTGACCGCATCGGGTCACTTAGCGCGCTCCAAATATTGCTACTCATATTCCTAGCCGTACGTCCGTTAACCCAATACTTAACAGCTCCCTTGTATCCGAACTACGCGGAACCCGCAGCTCGAACACGGCTACGCGGGCTGGAGTTTTTAATTGTCACCTTCGCGCACAGAGGTATGATATCGAACTATTCATTCAACACTGTAAATAGTTAGTAATAGTTTTGTATGAATGCCAACGGAACGATGCTGAACTATTTAACAGTGTTGATGAGAATGAATGCTAACAGTACGGTGCTAAACCATTTTGAAGTGTTAACGTGTATGAATGAACTATCCTAAACTAATTTAAAGAGTGAATGAGAAAGAATGCTAACAGTACGGTGCTAAGCTATTTTAATGTGTGACTGAGTATAAATGCTAACGGTATGATGCTGAACTATATTAAAGTGTGAACGAGTATAAAGCTAACAGTACGGTGCTCAGCTAAACTATGTCAAAGTGTGATTGAGGATGAATACAAGCAGCACGATGCTTAAATATTTTGAAGGGAATGAGTATAAATGCTAGCAGCACGATGCTGAAATATTTTAAAGTGAATTAGTCTGAATGCTAGCAGCACGATGCTAAAATATTTTAGAGTGAATTATTATTATAATAATTATTATTATTATAAATGCTAGCAGCACGATGCAGAAATGTTTAACAGTGAATGAGTATGAATTCTAAGAGTAAGGTACCTAACTAATTAACAGTGAATGAGTATGAATGCTAACAGTAGATGCTCTACTACTAAATAATTTGCACAAGAATGAACGCTAACGGAAGCATACTGAACTATTCTACAGTGTGACTAAGGATAAATGCTAACAGTACGATTGTTATTTATAACAATTTGAATGAGGATAAATGCTAACAGTACGATGCTGAACTATTCACAGCGTAACTGAGTATGAATGCTAACATTGAGATGCAGATTTATTCTAATCTAGAGTAAGAACGAGGATGAATGCTCACGGAACTATGCTGAAAGATTCAACTGTTGGAATGAAGATGAATTCTTACATCACAATGCAGAACTAGGTACTCAAAATTGAGAATAAGTATGAACAGCACGGTAGATGTGAATGCTCGCGTTTGTACGGGGTGTTGTTTCGCTAATGAGTAAACACCCTGCGGGACTCTCAGAGTGGAGGAAAGTGTGCAGACTGGGAAAGCCACTTATGCAATCAACGTGCCTTTGGCTATTGCATATTAAAGCCTATTGCACTTGCATGAGATTGCAAGCACGTAGAATTTCAAGATTGGAGTGCATTGTGTATCAATTACAGGATTCGTTGTTTCCCTGATATTCATCGGTTTGATTTCAGTCCGTAGCGGGTAAAGATTATTAGGCTCTTTAGAAGTAAGGGCTGTCGTAAATAGGCATCCTGCGGCTTTGGATCATACAGCGCCGCAAGAACCGTTATAACTAAAGATAAAAATAGAATTAAATGTTTATTTTCCGCACGTGTCGGCAGGGAACTCGTCAAAATCTTCACTGAGCACCGGAAACGTAATTAGAGCATCACAGAAATTTTATTGTGGTTTTATATTTTTATCTTGTTGGTAACGGAGGCGCGTGGATGGTGACACTGAAGCGTTAACTTGTAATTACAGCTCTGGAGTTGAATTGCACTGTTGATAACGGTTGAAGGCGTATCTCGATGAGAACTCTCTAGGAATTTTATCGACAGGTCTGGCTATTACGAATCTAAAAACGGCATCTAATTGCATTAGAGGTGCACTAAAATTTCTTCTTATTTAAACGTGTTCACCATATTAGGAGAAATGAACGTTCTCGTATTTTTATTCAGCATGAAAGATATCGTCTGTGGAATTCGCACTTGAAATTGGCTAGTGTTTTTGGCGGTCAATTGAACTGTTAGGAATTTAACTGATAAACATATCCACGATAATTTCTGCATATTTTCGTGTTACTGGTTCTTTCTTATCATCGAACTTATTTGCAACTTTAATCAAATCACTTAAAGAGGTTATTCCGAAATTGCTTGGCATAGAAATATAATCTTGGCCTTGATAATCTTTGCAATTCATGAAAATCGTTTACAAAATCCAATAATTCTGAAGCCCATAATTCCGATTACAGTAAATAATTGTTTAGATGAGGTAACTAACGTTCAATAAAAGAGGTACCCGTTCAAACCAGCACTCGCTCGGAAAGATCGTTCAAGTCTGCTCCCAGATTGTGATTGGAAACAGTTTTATTTTAAATTTTCGAATTGAATATTCACTCACAAAGAAATTCACTTTTCAAATACTCCCCTCAATCAATCTGACAAATTCAGCAATTAAAAATAAAAATCTTTGGTATGTAATTTCCCTGTTTATTAGGTATAGTGGAAGTGCATAAGCCCTTGTGTATATATATACGGCCTCAGGCTTCAAAAACACGAACTTTGACTCTAAATTTAACAAGTATATTTAACATTAAGTGTTAAATTTAGAATTATATTTCCATCACTCGTTGCTAGTAATTATTGCGGAGTACGTAACGGAGGAGCTGACCTCCTATGTACAACGATTGTCTGCGCTCGGTCTGGACCGCTCTTCATGCAGGCGTTTATTAAAGTGACCTGCGCGATCACTTCGCATAGTGAGCGACACCAACCGCACGACGTGATCACGGCGATCCCTGCGCCACCGTCGTGCTTACCGCGAGCCGCGGTGTGATCGCCGCATTTACAGAGCCGTGGTGTGATCGCCGCATTTACAGAGCCGTGGTGTGATCGCCGCATTTACAGAGCCGTGGTGTGATCGCCGCATTTACAGAGCCGTGGTGTGATCGCCGCATTTACAGAGCCGTGGTGTGATCACCGCATTTACAGAGCCGTGCTGGGCTCCCGCATTTACAGAGCCGTGCTGGCACCGCTGCATTTACAGAGCCGTGCCGAGTTCGCCGCCTTTACTTGACCATGGTCCATGAGTGTCGCATAGTTGCTTATGATTTTAATTGCAATGAGAGTTTAATTTCAATGAGAGTTTAACCGCGTGTACGAATAAATTTTTTTTCTGCCCACATACCGTTCATCAAAAAAATAGTAAATATAAAATATAAATTGAATTTCATCTGTAATTAGTACGTGTAGTTCATGTAAGCTCGCTACATCAACCCTCCGCTTATTGCTTGAAGTTAACCGATTATTCAACTAATATTCATTAAGACTTCAGACACTGTTTCAGTGTTTTGAAAAAAAAACATTCTAACGTCCATCCATCGTCGTGAGTAAAAAAAAAACAGATTATTTCTGTTGAACTTAAAAAATTGCCGAGTCTACTTAGAATTGTTGCTCATTCTTCAATGCAAGAGTTCTTTACTTAATTAAGCGCGTGCATATCATAATGCGTATGAAGTGTAATATACTTATGACAAGTTTTATGTACTGAAATATACGCTTTTTCCAGATTTTTTGCGATGCTCTTCATAGGATGAGTGGCGTATCCGGTATACCGTATCTTCCTCCACCGCCCCTGTTCTGCAACACGCCACAGATCGCTCCTAAGAACCCTAACGTCAATAAAGAAAACGCGACCTCCACAAATGCAGATTTGAAGTTGTCAATGTTTTCGTCAATAAAATCTGGAAAAGAAATAGTTTATTCTAATTCAAACGAGCTTTTATCATTGGGCGAATGTTGTGAGGTAGAAACGAATGCTTGCTCTGCAACTTTTAGGTCGAAAAAGCAGTCCATTTTTAACAAAGCGAACGAGAAGACCCAGGCCTTAAACATGAACAAAACAGCAACCCAGTCGGCTTTTTCACCGGCAACAGAGAAGCCTTTGAAATCACCGTCGCCTTCGTCTTCGGACTGCTGCTCTAGTGACAGTGAGAGGTAACAGGGTCTTTGTGAATATGTTACCGTATGTTATTATTTTTTTTTCTGAGACACCAACATGACCCCAAAATGTTTTAGAATCAAATTAAACTGTTTTTAATTCAACAAACTCATTTTGTTAAATTTGTTTGCAAATCAAACTCATTACGGTGTTTTATTAAAAATTTCTGGATTTATTCGTAGAGCAGGCTACTCATATGTAAGAATCAATACTTAGTTCTACCAAATGAGATTGGTCCCGATGTAAACATGTCATTACTTCCCGCAGATCACTTCAAGACAGTGGGATATTCACTCCAGAAACCTTTGGTGTATCTCCCGAACCGTCCACTGCTGCTTTTTCTGCAACCGATGAAGCGAAGGCAAACGTTACCACCACAAGAGGTAGAAAGAATGTCAACGATACCAATAACCATACCATGACCAAAGTTTCCCACTCAGGCGTCATGACCATCACGATTCAGTCGGGCAACTATGAATCGAAAGTGCGAACAGAATCGACAACAATGTTGATGGACAATTTCGGAAGTGAGAAACAATCCGGAAGTAGCGATACTATTGCAACGAAAACGTATGGCCCTGCTACATGTCCCAATTTGAAAACTGTAACAGGTTCGAGTTCCGTCAAGCCATTAATGGCCAAGGCCAAACGAGAACCTCCTTCCTCGGAGCCTGCATCATCTAGCGGACCAATGACGCCTTCAACTACTTCCCCTTCGTCTTCAATTGCTTATTCTTCTTCACCTATTTATACTTCTTCGACTTCCCTTGCTTCTTCTTCGACTTCGATTGCTGGCTCTTCTTCGACTTCGATTGCTGCCTCTTCTTCGACTTCGATTGCTGCCTCTTCTTCGACTTCGATTGCTGCTTCTTCGATTTCGAGTGCTTCTTCGACTTCGATTGCTGCTTCTTCAATTTCGAGCGCTTCTTCGACTTCGATTGCTGCTTCTTCAATTTCGAGCGCTTCTTCGAATGCTTCTTCTTCGACTTCGATTGCTTCTTCGTCGTCCAACGCTGCAGTCAAAGATGGGGGAAGAAACGAGTTGCCCTCATCCGACCGGTATCGGGTTGTCAGTAAACCCAGGATCAATCAAGATGATAGGTAAGCGGGTGTATCAGTCATTTTTTGTGGTATTTCTTGGTATTCCGAGCAGTCATGTACTTTGTAGATAATATGAAATATTCGTAGATAATATGAAATAATATATGTATATAAAATGAAATTAAATATGATAATATTTAGAGATAATAGATAATATAATAGATAATAGTAGCTCGTAGATAATATTAAATAGATATGATAGATATCTATTCGTAGGTAATATAGATAATATAATATCCTTCATAGATAATATGAAATTAAATAAGTAATGGACTCTTCACAACTAAGAGGTTTTAACTATTAGCAGGAGCATCTCTCCGTGAAAATAACCTTCATATCTTCAGGAATTCTCAACTCTCAGCACACAACAGTTTCTCACATGTCACGTCTTAAATTAACCTAATTGACATAATTGAATTATGTGATATGAATCGCATGCATTCTTATCAAGAATGGGTAAAATTAACTACGAATATTATATGTTATGTACCTATACTCAACATGTCTGTCAGGAACTGCTCGTCGAATCAACGAGACTTCTCGGCTCAACCGAAAGTCCGGTCTAACGAACCTCATCCCGCGACTCGCATTGGCGACGAGTTCTTATCACGATCTTCAATTAACGATCTTCACAACAACAATCACGTTATTCACTCTGCTGACGATCCTCGTGTTAACGAAGTCTTTAAATCCGCTTACTGTCACGATCAAGAGTTCAGCTTGGAAGGCGGTGGTCGGCCGCTGCGTTCAACTTACTCCATTCATGAACTCGGAGAAAAGCTTGGTCCGTCGGACAACCAATCACAATTTCAATACGATCAGGCTTGTGAAGACGATTTCAACTACGGTCTAGGCTATGTTCCTCATGACACGTATATTGGATGCCACAGCGATGAATCGGATGACTTATTCGATGAGGTTCGCAACGACGCAGCAACGGACATTGCCAATGCATGTCAAATTGAAAAGCCGGTCGGCGTCGTCACTGGTGTTCCCAACGGTCTCATTCTCGACGGGATTCCTGATAAAATGTCACCTGACGGAGTAGCTTTCTTGGACCCGGGAGCGCGTCCTGTTAGCCACCCAGCAACAGACCCTCCTGCGTGCAGCCTCTGCGTCAGGAAAGGTTCCCTGCTTTTCAACATCCAATGCGACACCTGCTGGACCGCCCTGAAGCGAGGGGCTCTTCCTGCTGCCCAGATTTTTGCCGTGCTTCGGCAGTGGGACGCAAGAGTTCAGCGTAACATTGGACCTCTCGTGGCGCTGGTGAGCCGAAAATACTAATTCGTGTTCCTGTTGTATGCGTTTTTTTCATGAACGGTGCTTTCTTCAAGCCTGTGCGTTCAAAATATTTCCTATACCCATGTGGAATTTTCTTTGCCGTATCACTAATTTTTTTCTCCTTTTTTGTCCATTTTAATTATTAATTATCAGACGTAGTATCTGAGCATGAGTTACCTTCCTGGCTTTTTCTTTCTCCTCCAAAGTTCTCTAATATTTCCGGGACAATTTCTGGCTGCATGTGTAATTTCTTACTGTCTGTACTACCGTGCACGGCAATAATTGTTAATAATTAAGACATTCCAAAGCTCTTTTTTCATCATTTGGCTTAAATCACAAATTACCTACAAATTTAGTAGCAAAGAAAAAGCCAAACAAATTCACCAAACCGTCATCTAAAATGTTTTGAAAACAAGCTCTATCATCAGTTCGAAAAAATATATAAAGAATGCAATGAATGCTTCGTATCTGCTGGCTCATTTCGTCGTGGCATAATATGGTCAGTATGCCAGTTTTTTAGATCCGTTATGAACAAGTATGAAAATCACAGGAATCGGCGACAGGCCAAATACATCGGGCCTGCCGGCCTAGTCTTCAGTGCCGATAATTTTTATTATGCTATACTGTTATACGTCGAACACTAATACGGTACTGTACTACACTACTATACTATACTGCTATACGCCGATCACTAATATCCTATACTCCTATACATGTACTATACTACTATACGCTGTACACTAATATCCTATACTCCTATACCATACTACTATACGCCGAATACAGATATACTATACTGGTACTCCTATATACTATACGCCGAACACTAATATCCTATACTCCTATACTATACTACTATACGCCGAACACTAATATCCTATACTCCTATACTCTACTACTATACGCCGAACACTAATATCCTATACTCCTATACTTCTCTAGCAAATATAAGTAAATTACTTAGCCACTATTAATGTCATCATTTAAACCATATCAAATACATATCAATTGGCTTGTCATTATTTAATTGAACCATTGCACCGTAAAATATACAGGTTTATTAGCTTGCTACTATTCAGTTCAACCGTTAGGGTACGCACGCAGTGAAAGCAAGTTTGCCCGCGCGGGCAACCTGCTCCAACCTGCCACAAGAATGAACATAGGATAATAATGTAAGTGTTCACAGTGAAAACCTGCACGAATAGGCTTCTGTATTCTATGGTTTCAGGCGCCAGCCTGAGCAGGTAACCAGCACGCTGGCAACCTGCTTTCACTGTGTGCGTACCCCTACCTTATACTACGTCAGTTGACGGTTATCTGTTGCCCGCGTCAGGCAGTGAAGGGTGGGAGCGGCATCAACGACCGGGACGCAGCGACGGACATGACGCTACTGCACTACGCTGTCAAGGCGGGGGCGGGGGGCGTGGGGGACCCTGCTGTTGCTGTACAGGTCAGGGGGAAGGGGGAATTGTGAAGCAATAATATATGAAGAGCTTAACGTGTTTTAAGTCATATTAATTCTAAAGCAATAATATATGAAGAACTTCACGTGTATACATGTCGTATTAATTCTGAAGCAATAATATATGAAGAGATCCACTTGTATATAACTCGTATTGATTCTGAAATAATGATATATGAAGAGATCCACATTTATACATGTCTTTCGGAATGATAATATACGTGGAGCAGAACATGTATTTATCTCGTATCCTGAATGGAAAACATATGAACTGGTACCGCTACAATGCGGTACATATTAGATCAAAATGCATTAAACCAGATTTCTCTACATAACTTGTCTGACATTTTGTAACTGTTTAGTTACCAGGCTAGATAAGTCTTAGAAATACGAACCATCGTGCCTAGAATTCCCCCCCAGGTTGTGAGCTGAACTCCCGAGTGTTGGCTTCGAATTTCGATTCAAAATTATCAACAAATTCCGTATTCCGTATACCTTCTGATTACTGAGTATAAAATACGAAAACCCCTCATAATTTTTAGAAATAATCTTCAGAAAATTATATATTGCTAAGTTTTCAAGGAAGTCAATGCACAACTGTATTGATTGACGATTGAACCGTCCCTAATTTAGTTTTAAGATATTCTTTAATCATAATCTATGAAATTCACGAGGTTTTTTCCACTCATTCCCTGCATTATTCTAACCATTTAACACCCCCACAGGTGGTGTAAGATATTCTTTAATCATAATTTTTAAAATTTACAAGCTTTTATCACTCATTCCCTGCATTATTCTAACCCCTTAACACCCCCACAGGTGGTGGAGGAACTGCTGAAGGGGGGCGCCGACCCCCACATGCGCTGCAAGTGGACGCACATGACGGCGCTCCACTACGCCGCCTTCTTCGACGTGCCCCTCGTCATCGACCTCCTCATGGAGGACCCTGAGGGTAAGAACACTGATGGTTAGAACCCTGAGGGTAAGAACAAAGAGGGTAGGAATCCTGAGGATTAGAACGAAGAGAGCAAGAATCAGCAGGATGAAAACCTTGAAGAGTAAGAACCCTGAGCGTGAGAACCCTGAGAGTAGGAACCCTGAAGGGTAAGAACCCTGAGAGTAGGAACCCAGAAGGTATGAACCAAGAGGACATGAAATCTCTTGGTAAGAACCATAGAAGTTAGTTTCCCGAGAGCAAGCTTCACTTCAATGATGATTTCCAGATAGTTTCCAGATAGACAGTTCAAGAATGATTTCCGTCCTCAAGGACGGATGACCTCTTGAGGAAATGCATTACGAAGCATGGCTTCTTGAGCCGATAGTGTCCGTAGGGCAACGCTCCTGGGGGCAGCTTCACGATGGCAGTGTTCATATGATTGTGCATCCTTGTAGGCAGTGTCCATATGGTTATGAATCTGTAGGTTAGCTTTTTAGGGACATGCTTCACAAAGAATGACATCCTGTGAAGGTAGTATCCTCAAGATTGCAGTTCTGAGTTTTCTTGTAGGTTTCGCTATCGTTGCGGCGTTAGTTAGAAAGTTGGCGACACGCTGCTAGAAACATAAGATATTCCCCGAATGCCTTTTTTAGCGCATTTTCTCATTTATGGAAAAAATGCGCTATTGTGCTCGTCATGTCCGTCCGTCCGTCCGTCCGTCTGTCTGTCCGTCCGTGACTTCACGTTTTCGTCAACGAGAAAATGCGCCCTCTGTCACTCACTGCAGTGAGTACCGAGTTGTATTTTTTTCTTAAACTGAGCCTGCTATGCAGTGGTGAATAGGAAACTGGAAACCTATTCATATCACACTTCGTACGGGTGCAGTGGTGAACATTAAATTATATATTCCTAGCACACTTCGTATGGTCTAACTTGTGTCATCCGTGCAGGGGTGAGCGTGGACGCCCCTTGCCCCGGGTACGCTGGAGGCTTGCCACTGTTGGCGGCAAGCTACGAAAAAAATAGATATTCCCAGAATGCTTTTTTTCTTAAATTGAGCCTGCCGTGCATTGGTGAACAGGAAATTAGCTACTCTCAGCACACTTCGTACGGCTTAACTCATGTCATCCGTGCAGGGGTGAGCGTGGACGCCCCGTGCCCCGGGTACGCTGGAGGCTCGCCACTGCACATCGCGGCGGCCAACCTCTGCGTGGGGGCCGTGGAGGCGCTGTTGCGGCACCGCGCCAACTTGGTGTAGTTGTAGGGCACAACCCACCTCGGCCCTGGTGCAGTTGTAGCGCACAACCCACCTCGGCCCTGGTGTAGTTGTAGGGCGCTAAGCGGATGCCGACGATAGCGAAGGGCATGCCTGCAGGCTTTGGACTCTGTGCACTGCACAGCTGAGCTAACAGCGGCAGGAGCAAGGGTAACATCTTTAGAATTACTCACAAATGCTTTCTATGCTCGATTATTTCACCTGGATTTCCTACAACTGTTAAATCTGTGTGATCTACGTATATTTATTAGTCGAATGACTATACGTGTCACCGTTATTAAAATCCGCTACTATGTTCTTTCATAGACACATTGTTTTCTTTTAATGCTGTTGGAAAAGACATTTTCCAAATGCATTATTAAACTGAAATATCTGGTCTTTTTTTGTAAGGTCAAATTAGAAAATGGAAATTGTAGGTTTCGGGAGGATAGCCTTAGAAAGTTGAAGGAGAAATATGGCGCCGAATACAGGAGATTCCCCAGCATTCATGATACGCTACCTGCTACTTGTCCGGCATTCCAAACCATTTAATCATGAAGCTGCGATCACAGATAAACTTCCGTATTCTTCTTCTGCCCAATTGTATAAATTTTATTAACGTGCTTTGTGAATAAAGTTTATTAAGCAAACAACGCCTGCCAGTGCCTTTTAGAGATCCACAGTTATCGAATCAATAGTTAAACAGAGCAAATAAGCTTACGAACGATCACTGAAGGTCTGTATGTGGTGCCTCAGCCGATGAGGCAGCTGACAGGCCCGACAATGTGGAGCAGCAAACATTTTAAATTGCATCTCTGCAACACCTTCTGAATTATATACATAAGTTATCTTTTCTCTCTAATTTTGAACTGAACTCCCTACAACAATGCAATATGACCGAACCACGTAGAATTTTTAGGTAAATGAATGTACGTTTCACCATAAATTATTAAAGTCTGTTGCAGTGTTTTTTATTCTAAATCATATTGTGTCCTTTTTCTGTAGTTGCTAGCGAAAAAATTTTTAGTCCAGAATCCTAAATTTCGTTTCAATAGGATGGGATATTTATTCCATGTTGAAAATATTTCGTTTCAAGTAATAGTCATATATGGTCACATCATTTGCAATTCTTATTTTTTATATTAAAAATCGCTATTATATTGAGCTACCATGAGGGTTTTCTTCAAATTTTAATAATTCATTGTTTATTTATTCGCCCAAAATACAAACAAAGAAATCTTATATTAAATCACCAAATCCCGATTAAACTTCACACCAAACAATAATCACTCCTTACAATAGCAATGCCAATACATTAATGAGATTAAAAGCTCGCGTAATCGACTTGCAGCCGAGTTCCACAACTGTTGATTCCACTTCAAAGCAAGATACGTCAATACGACGTCTTGTTTCTCCTCGTTGAAGCGTTGCGTGGCGTAAACTTATGTTGAATTGCCTCATTGTTTATTGACGTGCGCAATCACGGGTTCATTGGAACAGCAGGAGGTTTATGGAAATGTAGGAAAACAACGCATAACGATTTTAAAGTTGGAACGTATAAGAACTTTAAAGTTGGAAGTTTGGAACGCATCACGACTTTGAAGTTGGAACGCATCACGACTTAAAGTTGGAACGCATCACGACTTTAAAATTGGAAAGCATCACGACTTTGAAGTTGGAATGCATAACGACTTTAAAGTTGGAACGCATCACGACTTTAAAGATGGAACGCATCACGACTTTGAAGTTGGAACGCATCACGACTTAAAGTTGGAACGCATCTTATACACATCTAGATGTGTATAAGAGACAGCGCAATGTCCGCTTGGGACCAATGTCCGCTTGGGACGTGCAATGTCCGCTTGGGACGCGCAATGTCCGCTTGGGACGCACGATGTCCACCTTGCACGCCTACAAACACATTATAATGAAACGTTGAAAAATTCTTCTGTCACTTGCTAAGGCTCTTACATTTTTTCACTGCGTTTCAATTATTTTTCACTTGTTAAGCCTTAAATTTGAGCACGTTGACCCACAATTATTGAAGTCTCAACATGTATGTTGCTTCATTGTAGTCTTAACATGGATGTTAGTTTATTGTAGTTTTAACTTGTGTCTTAGTTATATGTTGGTGAATTCCAGGGACTTCCATCTATATTGAGTTAATTCAAATCGTATTACAAATATAATTTCACGATGCTATTGATTTTGTCTATTCACTCTTTCACTCTATTATTTCTCTGTCTTTCCCACTCATTCCTCTTTCTTCCTACATAATTCTTCTTTTTTTTTTAAGTATTAGCATTCCTTTAATAATAATTCCCCCGCTTCAATATCAACATCCTCCCAGAATGCATCCCAGACGCCGCCCAGTACGCCCAGGTCCCGGACGTCCAGCTGCTGATCAGGAACCTGCAGCGTCTGCTGGACCCCACCACGGCCCCCCTCCTGGACCACTTCGGCACAGGGGGTCAGCATAGCCCCCCTCCTGCTGGGGGAGGAGGGAGGGCCGTGCTGCTAGCCATGGGACTCAAGATCGGAGACCGCGTCCTGGCCAACGGCGTCCACACCGGCGTCCTCAGGTGCGATGGCTGCTGCGGCGTGCTGTTCGGAACGTGAAATTTATGTAAATTTCATAATTACCTTCAATTCGAGGATATTTTTAATACAGATTGATTAATTTTGAATGATCTTATTAGTAACGCAGGCTTAACTCTCCGCACTTCCTCAAAACTCTTTCTATACATTCCTTCTCAAAGCTCTTCCTTTGCCAAACATTCCTTCTCCCAACTCTTCCTTTGCCAAACATTCCTTCTCCCAACTCTTTCTATGCCCAACATTCCTTTTTCCAACTCTCCCTTCCCCCAACTCCTCCCTGCCCGAAACCCAACGCTTCCCTCGCCGTCACTCTTGATACGCCCAACGCTTCAAACCCTCCAACTCTCAAACACCCAAAATTATCAAACAATCGCCTTCCTCGACCTTAACTCTGCCTACTTTCCACACAACCTCAACTCCCTCTTCCTCCCAGATACGCGGGGATGACGGAGTTCTCGACGGGGCTGTGGGCGGGGGTGGAGCTCGAGTCCCCCGAGGGGCGCCACAACGGCTGCGTCAGGGGCGTCGTCTACTTCCGCTGCGCCGCGAGCTACGGTGGGCGCTAGTGCCCCGTGGTCACGCTGAGCTATATAATAATAGCGGTTTCATCGTTAGTAGGCCGTAGGCCGTCGCCGATTCTTAACATCGCAGAACATCTACAGCATGTTGCGGTCTCGAACTCGCAACTCACTGCCACAATTCTGCTGTGCTTAACCGCCCGGCCTTCCTTGCCGATTCTGACCAGAAACTGGCGCACAGAGCTGGGATCGAACCCGCGCCTCTCTGCGCCAATCTTGGTACTCTGAACTGTAATCACTGGGCCACCCATGGCCATGTCTTGTAATCTGGTTGCTCTTGACACGTTGACTCCGATTGCTTCATCTTGTTCTATTATTTCATTTTTATACTACACGTTGCGCTATATAATCTCTTATAATCTGCTTGCTCATGACACGTTGACTCCGATTGCTTCATCTTGTACTATTATTTGACTTTTTTTACTATTATTAATTATGTACCACTACGTCCTGGAAAAATACACCTCGTGGTACGCATTTGTACCACTTAGGAGTAAACGTGTTAATGGCCATGATCTCTAATAATCTTGTAGCTCTTTTAACTAATCTCCTGTAATTCTATTGCTCTTATAAATATTATTTCTTTAATCTTGTAGCTCCTTGGCTGTATTCTATGAAATTTTATATCTGTTATATCTATTGTCTCATATAGTTTTTTAACTGTGATGGCTATCATATATCTATTATAGTTGTATTGCTCATATGGCATTTATCTTTTATTCCTAGTATCATTCTTTTAAAATAAGCTATATCTTCTTAGTCGCATCTATATTATTTTGTCATTTATGAAATGATCATTGCAAAAATGTTGCAATTCTAGCAACATTAGCGAGCAATTTCCACTATTTTTCCTGTGTAGCTGTGCCAATTATTATTCCTTAAAGTGATATTCAATTCGTTATTTCTGAAAGTCATCACCGAGTTGTTCCAATTTATCACTGATTAACATAATTTATTATTTATGACTTATTATTCGTTACATTCGAGTTCTGTGTCTGCAAGAGAAACCTGCAAACAATGGGATATTTTAATATACATTTAATGTACCGTATGTGGGTTATTTTAATGTAACAATTAACGCCGAACTTCGAGTGAGGATGAAAGAACCTTCGTATGAACATTCCTATAATAAGTAAGTGTGCAATTTTCGAGTACTTGTCCTTTTGAGGGATCAGCAAAAAAAATCGAAACTCATTATCTGTCGGCGTTCCAGTTTTGCCAGTCCGGTATTCGATTTTCGTGTTCGTTGTACGAAAAATCTTTGTGCTCTTGAAATTCCTAGAATAAATTTGACATAGCCTGCCGTTGAAGAGAAACCATGATATAAAGTGAAACCATGATATAAACGTCTGCGATTATCAAGTTTTCTTCATGACGTTGATTTATAACTATCCCACCACAGGTTTGTTCGTGCCGTTGGTTCATCTCACTAAAATCCCAAACGTGTCTCGAGGACGAGGCAAATCGAGACGAAGGGCACCGCCTCGAGGAAGATCTGTGGCTCCGTCTCGTCTCAGAGATGGAGCCACCAGAGAATCAATGTCTCGAGGGGGTGAATGTCTCTGGGGTTCCAAGTCCCCCCCTCGCCGGTCCCTGTCCCTGCCCCCCGCCCGCGTGAAAATGGGCAAAGTTGATGTGTCGGGAATTGGATCCAGAGTAGCGCAAGGTGAGCTGGTCGTTGTATTGTTATTACACTGAATATTTCTTCGTTCGAATTTTACTTCATTGGTTATTTAAACTTCCCTTTCAAAACACGTATTTACGTCTCACATTTTTGATGAGAATTAAGTAACGTGTAGATAATATCTGTGATCTGAGAATATTTCAATGTATCGGGAGTAAAATACTGTCATAATAAAGATGTTACGGTACTTCTTGGAAGTGTTAAGAAAAACAAATTTTGTTATGCAGTTAAATAATAAACGTGATTATTGTTCACTCGCCACAGACATTAGTGACGACACCCGCAAGATCTGTGTGGGTGAACGAGTATTGGTGGACTTGCGAGTGACGCCAGACCAGCCAAGCATTGCATCAGTGACGTCACTCTTCAGCAACTCTAGACGCCCCAGACGAACGTCACACTCAGGGTCGTTCGTGGAACTTCATCGCCTGGAGTCCGTAGCGCTACACAACTCCAACTCTAAACCCAAAAACCTGCACCACTCCAGCAACAGGTCTCTTCACCAGGCCCCTGGAGCCGCTGTGGGAGGCGACCAGAGCTTGCAGATGTGCCGCTGGATCGCACTTGGAGTCGTGCGGTTTGTCGGGAACGTGGCGTTCGCGTCTGGGTACTGGATTGGGGTGGAGCTGGACCAGGCTCTTGGTAGCACAGATGGAACTGTTAAATCCGTGCAATATTTCTCGTGTCCTCCGAGCCACGGTGTCTTCGCTGCTCCTTCTCGCGTAGCCAAGTGAGTCTTTATTTACTGTTTTCGAACTTAATTTTCTAAATTCTGTTAGTTTGTTTATTTGTATAATATTCATGATAGTTTAGTTTTTAATTGTATAGTATTCATGATAGTTTCTTATAAGCTATACGACTTAATTTTAATTTTTTGGCAATAAATTTAAGATTATTTCTAACTGTGATACTTGATTTTGTGGCTTCAAGAGGCCAGTAATGGAAAATTTTTTAATATCGATCTTTCCCAACGACAGGCTCAAAGATTATGACGACTTCGAGCCCATGTGTTCACCTGGCTTGATCACCCGGCGTTCACGTCTCTCTACACAAAACTTCAGCAGCGACAGCGATCTCAGGATCACCCGGCGACCCAAATCCTATTCGGTAGGAAGCGACTACGTCTTCAAGTCGGAAATCAGCCAGCACAGAACTCCTCCCATCCGTGCCGAGACAGGACGTTCCAGGCAGAATTACAGGGAACTGACGGACATGAACGATTCTTCTAATAATGAGCGGAATAATATTTCCCACCGTGCATCATCTAATGGGAAAGAAAACATATCATCAGCCCGGCAGACTAGAGGCCAAAAAAACAGTAACGATTTAAGACTTCTGAAGAGCCGGCAGGATACTTCCTGCACCCGTACATCTCGCGGTGAGAAGAGGAAAATTGAAGCTCAGTCCGGCTCCGCGTTAGAGCCTGAGAAAGTGAATGAGAAGAAGAGCCTTCTTTACAGCTCATGGCTGCAGTGCATGAGTGAAGCCAGCGATGGCCGTGCCCGGGTTGCCTTGCCCATCTTACTGCCTGACCTGAGCAGTGGCAGCGCTCTGTACCCACCCAACACTTCCATGAGTCACCTCAACAAATCGTTCTCAGCCAGGTGAATGACTTCTTGCATTTTCACATAATGTTGAATGCCTCTCAGCTTACGTACTGTATTTTCCAGGCACTTTTTCAGTTGTTAATAGCATTTTTAAAGCTATTTAACCATTTACTATTCTGATTTTTGTCTTTCTACTAAATTGAAGTGATATTTCTACCACAATGAAGTGGTATTTCTACAATGAAGTGCTGTTTATTTTTGCACTCTGAGCCTGAACTGACGTAGTTGTATTGACCGAACGGGTTAACTGGTATAGGGCATGTATGGTTGACCATCACGTCTTTCGGAGACTGAGGTCCTCGACTCAGCAGCTCTGATATTTTGAGGTTTTATATTTTTGATATACATGTAACAATTCAACTGACATGCAGGTACGTCTCATCACGCCTGCGTCAGGAGGAGCTACAACGGCGCCAGGAAGAACAAGCGCTGGAGCCGCAGTGGCATGAGAACTTCGAGTGCGAGCCCTCGATGCGCTACAACCCTCACTACTATGGCAGAGGGAGCGACGACTCCGAGCAGTGGGTCGAGGTCGGCTGCAATGTCTTCTACAAGGGCTGTGTCGGTGAGCACGAGAAATTTTTACGAAGTGTTTGCTAGGAAGTTTAAAAAAAAAAATAATGTCATAATGAAAATATAGTCTGTGTAAAAAGATTGCATTCCTAGTAAAGTGATTTGACATTGTTGGTAACTTTACAAATCTGCATGCCCGAATGTGTGAACATAACCACCATCTACACACATAGTTTCTCGTACAATAATTATTTTAAGAATCGGGACAATGACTATTCTCTTTTATTATACTGGCCATACTTGTACCAAGGGGCATTCGGTTACAATTATCTCGGGTTTTAGTCTTAAACATTGACTCTAAATCATAAAATTGATATTTGTGTTGAAACTACTGTCTAAAAGTAGAAAAAATCTACTTGATGACAAAAACTCGTAAGATCGAATGCAAAATTTTTTAAATTTTCTCGTTACTTTTTATTCATCTATGACGCTGTATTGACCACGGCGAATTTCGTGGCCGCCATCATTTTATGACAAAAATCAGTCAGCTCAAATACAACATTTTGACATTTCCTGGTCACTTATATTCTTCTATGACATGACATTTACCACTTCTATTACATTGTAGGCACGGTGAAGTACATGGGCAATATTCATTTGTGACGTGACATTGACCACTGCTATTACGTTGTAGGCACGGTGAAGTACATGGGCAATATTCATTTTTGACGTGACATTGACCACTGCTATTACGTTGCAGGCACGGTGAAGTACATGGGCAACGTGGATTTCGAGCTGGGCACGTGGCTGGGCATAGAGCTGCGTAAACCGCAGGGCAAGCACGACGGCATCGTCCTGGGACGAAGATACTTCAAATGTCGTCCCATGTGCGGCATCATGGTCAGGCCTTCTGCTGTCACTGTCAGGGGCATCAATGGTGCCTGCGCCGTCAGGCCTGACAGTGACGAGGGCGATGACGAGTGGATGTAGCAGCTACGAGACGTGGATGTAGCAGCTGCGAGACGTGGATATAGCAGCTACGAGACGTGAATGTAGCAGCTACGAGACGTGATTGTAGCAGCTACAAGGCGTGAATGTAACAGCTACGAGACGTGAATGTAGCAGCTACGAGACGTGTACGTAGCAGCTACGAGACGTGAATGTAGCAGCTGCGAGACGTGAATGTAGCAGCTACGAGACGTGGACGTAGCAGCTGCGAGACGTAAAAGTAGCAGCTACAAGATCGTAAACGAGAAAAAATTCTCGTGAAATGCAAGTTTTACCAAAAAATTCTGTTCCACAATTCTTTAGTAGGTCATAATGTAAGACGTACTTTGCAGTTAACATATTTCATGCTCTGAAAGCTCCCACAATTTTGCACGATGAAGTTGGTATTTGATATCAATGTATCTAATTACTACGAACTGCGATTATAGCCTCGTATCCGTTGGTTGTTGTTCGGTAGTTCTTGCGAAGAGACTGGCTTCTCAATTCTAATTTCTACTCGCATCGACAATTATTCGTACTTTTTTTTTGGTGAAATAGAATTTCTTAAGTCCCTAATTACTATAATTTGCGTTCGTCAAGTTCTGATATTGATATTTTTTACTACACTATTGTCATTTGTTGCACAGTCAAAAATTTAAAAGCACAGTGAGTTATATATGGTACACACGAATTATGGGTTTCGTTGCTAGTGATTTCGTGTTGATCCTTCGTTATTGCTATAAAGTTTTTGATGTTACATCTCTCTAATTATGTCGCACGCGTTTTATTTTGGAATACGTTTGATAAATATACAAACTTTCTTCGTTTGGATTTTCATTTCCAGAAAGCATCGTTACTGTTTTATCAATTTTCAATTCTGGCAATTGAAATAACTGACCGATTAAATAACTGACCGATTCTGATTGGGGTGGGGCAAATGGTTGTTCACACTCATGAAAAATTTTCTACTAAATTCATATTCCACTTGGCAAATTAAATACAAATTTAATTATCAATTATTATGTTGAGTATATATAAAATTGGAAACAAAATAATAGCCATTTGATCTGCTACTGCGAGTAAGGCTACGATGAAGTCCAAGAAGAGTTTGCTTGACACGGCTATAAATTAAAAAACTGCGTTGTAACAAATCCAAGCGGCAACATTTCTTCTCGCTTCGAGTCACAGACATGTTGAACAGCCTCCCTGATGATAGCATCGTTGACCCTCCGAGTATGAACGCCTTTAAGAACAGACTAGACGAAGCTATGCAGGAGCATATGTTCAGTCTTGAAATGCCTAGCACCTTACGGACCAGGCAATAAGTCCAGCAGCTATCTCAATCAATCGTCAGTTATGGAAAGATCGGGTTCCAAAGGCCGGATCCCTTGTGAATCAAGTCACGAAAAGTTCAAGAATCGGCAACAGGCCATGGGCATATTTCTTCAATGTCGACACTTCTATTCTATTCTACTCCCAATGCCCTCTGGATATTCTGCGCAGGATTTACAGTGTGGAATGTCTCTCTCCAGCTTTCAGGAAGAGGCGACCATTAATGAAATAATTAATTTATTTATTATCATTTGCTTATTATTTTGTAGGTCAGTCTATTCCAATTATGACCTAAATCCACAGCGGTGGGCAGTAGCGCGCTACATGTAGCGGCCGCTACATTTTCAGGAGCGATAGCGGCGCTACATATTTAAGTAGCGATACAGGTTTTGCCGCTACAGCGCTACCGCTACATTTATAGATAAAGCCTTTAGATTTTACCTACTAATATTAAATATTATTTGAAAACCGGCATGATACATACATAGAATAAAATACAGAATAAAACTGTACGAAAGATTTCGGTGTAATTTTGTCAACCTCAGCCTGTTACTAGTGTCAATATGTTAGTTGTTACTTGTTAAGTTGTTACCAGTTACAACTTACAGGTATTTTTTCATGTTTCAGTTTGCTTACAGTTATTAAGTTGCATTGATAAACTGTACTTAAACTGTAAACTGTAACTGTGTAAACTAAACATTGATAAACAACAATAAAGTTGCATTGATATGTTTTGAAAATGTTTTATTATTATTAAATGTTTATGAGTAAATCCCAACAGCAAAACAATAAATATTTAGATATTTATAATACTTTTGGCCATTGTAGAGGCTGATGTAGCGGCGCTACATTTTACTGTAGCGGTTGCGGTAGCGCTCGCTACAATCTAGTGGGTGTAGCGGTAGCGCCCGCTACACTTAGAGCATGTAGCAGTAGCGGTAGCGGCCGCTACATTTCAAAGTAGCGCTGCCCAGCTCTGTAGATCCATATAATGTCGGCAACCATTCATCACTTTGTCTCTACGGTGCGACTTTGCTCTCGAGTAAGTGTCCACGTCCCGTTCAACCCCGCCTGTGTGGATATAAGTGCGTGTCACTCATATACTTATCGGCAAATATTCCTGTTTAAAATCCATACACTTCACGCTCAGTGTAGCACAAACTCTTTCTAGGTCGTATATTCATCTTGTCTCTCAAAGCTGCCTTCAACGTTTTCTTAAAATTTTCTACGGTTGTACGTAGCAAGATCACTTGACTGCTTATATCGCAAATTCACTAAGAATTTAGATGCAAAGAAAATAGGCAGAAAGTTTACAATTTCTTTATATGAGAAAACTTACCGGAGTCGAGCTTCATCGTCTGTTCAAAATCCTATAACACATGCAGAATCAAATAGAAAAATGAAATTCACAATGAAGATAAAAATAAATCTTTTTTTTATCTACAATGTAATAAAAACAAGAGTTTTAATTTGCAAGTGAACATTAGTTTCTTGATTGATTCTGCCTGTCTCATAGGATTTTGAACTGACAGTGGAGCTGGACTGTCCACGGTTACTCCGAAAAGTTTTCTCATAAAAAGAAATTGTAAATTTTCTGGCTATTTTCTTTGCTTTTGAATTCATTGATTATTCGTTTGATCAAAGCTTTCCCTTGGCACGGACAACTTGTTAGGTTTTGATGATTCCGGAAAGAAGTTGCTTACTTCCAGTTCTAAGAATCTCTTTAAACCGCAAACGGAAAATTGTTTATACTTTAGAACACATTTGCTTCTTCAAAGATTTGATCATTATCTGTAATGCAATTCTTTATTTCGTAGTTCTCTAACACACTAAGTTCATTTATTCTTTGTAGACCATTATTCTAACGAGTCTAACCTAGGTAATCTCCTATTCCTAACGTCTAAGGTGTACCGGTAAACTAACTCATCCTGTCAGCTGTGTTAGTGCCACTGGTATGGCCGTATGGGTTTATAATAATAGCAGTTTCAGCGTTTATTAGGCCGTAGGCCTGTCACCGATTCTTAACATCGTAGAAACTAGAACATTCACTGATTCACAGCATATTGTGGTCTCGAACTCGCAACTCGCTGGCTCAAATTCTGCTGTGCTTAACCACCCGGCCGGCGGCCGGCGGCCTCCTTGCCAGTTGCCAATTGCCATGCCAAGTTGCCAGTTGCCGATTCTGACCAGAAACAGTCGCACAGAGCTGGGATCGAACCCGCGCCTCTGTGCCAATAATCAATTTTGGTACTCTGAACATCAACCACTGGGCCAGGTTAAGAATTGGGATTACTAATTACTATTGATATGGATATCTTGCAGCATTAAATTGACACTGATGACTGATGTGAGTGTGCCACTTTCAGTTTCAAGAGCAGGTTTTTGATTTAAAATTTCCAAAATACCTAGGTACCTCAGACAGTCCAGACTCAGAGGCCTAGACTTTTATTGTTAGGCCTATTACTTAGACAAAACTAATATTTTTGGCAAATTTTTCTAAAATTGCAAACTGAAAAAAAAAATCATTTGAAAAAGAAGTTAAAAAAAATTCCAGTTGAGGTCAGGGTATGGTTCTACAACTTCTACTGTAAGTACTGTTGAAGACACATAAGTCATAAGTTGTTACTCAAGAGTCAACAGTAACTGCACAGTGCACAGAAGTAGGTACCCTGCTGCAAGCATGGAAAACATCTGCCTTTAGGGCTAACTAGAGGTTTCCTGCTATTTCTGAAACCGCGAGATTTCCGTCAGATGAATTACCTCCTATCCAAATGTTAACAAAAGTGCACGATTGAGCCGCGAGATTCCAAATGTATTGAAAATTCGTCATGTTGAAGCCACGAGATTTCAGAAACAAATAGAAAAATTCCAATCCTGCCCTGCTGCAGGTCACCAAAAACCATACCTATAATACTGGGCAGAACTATGATTTGTAGAGTTTGTTTGCCACATAATAATTGGAAGATTTTTTGAGCAGACCAGAAAGATGTTTTTCAGTTCACATTTGTTTATTAACTAGATCATTTCTATTGAAGGTTGGGAGTCTATGACTTTGCTATACAAATGCTAAACACAACACTAACACAAGTGTTAAACATAACACAAGTGAGTGTGCTAAACATAACACTACATAGTGTGCTAAACACAACTCTATGTAGTGGCATTGCTGGTAGATAATAGAGGGTAAGAATTACAGTTTTACTGTCTCAATATGGATAGCTGAGAGCTTATCTAGATTACTCAGACATCCATTTGTATCCACTGCATTGTGAGGGAAGGAGGCAAGTGTTGAGAGGACTGGCAGATCTTCTCTATAAAAGGTGTATGATGAAACTATTTATTAACTTCATTTTTGTTTTCCTCTTCCTGTATAGGTACATTTAGTCTCTAGCATGCACAAAGTAGCAATGATAATACATACCGGTATAGTATATTGTTTGTTGGCCCTTTTGTCATTTTTTTAATTGTATTGGATGTCATGAAATCACGGTAATGATATTAAGTATTAATTCATTAATAAAAATCATGTCACAGTTTCAATATTTTTTCCAGGTTTGAAGTTAAGTTAAGATGGAAGGTGACAAGTTGCCGCAACATGGTAAGAAGAGTGATAGGTCAAGGAAGAAAATGTCAGCACCAAACCTTTTAGATGCTCAAGTGAAAGGATCTCTTCAAAAAGGTTGGATTCTAGTGGGGTACCGGTATTGGATATATTTTGCTTTATTTTGTATTGTCCGTTTTCTTGTATTGTCAACGTGAGATGGTAAATTTGTATTTTATTCAGATTTTATAATAAATATTTAAGTTGCATCATACGGTAATTTATCTTACATGTTTTAGGTTCATTAAATACCTATAATATTTATGTAGTTAAAATTTTATATATGGCACTTGCATATTAAATTTCATGGGTGCACAGTGCAAATTGAATGTTCAATGAAGGCATTCAAAATCAATGAAGGCATACCGGTAGTAGGCAACTGGCTCCATTCATAGTACCTAGTTCCATTTATATTAGATCACATATTTTTTATTGTTGCATAATTCCATTTCATTCTAGAATTTTATGATAACCACTGCAATAAAAGTTACACTGTTTAATGTAAATTTTTGTAGTCAAAATTAAGCCAGAACCAGAATACTCTAATAAGATGTGAACTGAGTTTAAATTTGTCTGAACCCTTGTAACACTGACAAGTATATTTCTAACTGTTAGGTATTTTATTTGAAGGATTAAGTTTGATGCTGTGTTAGTATTGTGGTCAATTGTTTCATAGACAGCAGTCCCTGCATTTAAGAAGGGCATTTAATAAGAAGTTATTCTAGATTTACCAGCCTGTCTAATATCCTCTGTTGAAGCTGTGAATTGAACATGCCATCCAATCAAGCTTCAGTTCTAGTAATATATAAATTTTTTATAAAGCTACAGTAATTCACTACACCATAAAAATTCCAATCCTATCAAAATACGAGCATATACAGTATATTTATAAATTATTATGAGATCCTAGTAAACATTCATAATTTTCCATTCTGCTCAGTTTTCAATGTCTTCTAGATTTATCTCACATTTTATTTACCTAGCAGGTATTTCACTTGAGAGCTATTTTGACTCATCTGGCTACAAACTTTTGTCAAAAATTCAATAATAAGACAAATATTTATATTTTCATATGTCGAATAGATTTTGTTGTTATATACTACTTGAAAATTCATATACTACTTGAAAATTCATATACTACTATGGTACTACAGTACTTCAATTCCTATACCAGTACTACTGATATAATACTTGTAGAAATTCATCTGTTTGTGATTGTGCTTGAAATGGTGATTGACCAGTTATTTCTTCCTAATGCATGGGCTGTACTTTACAAAATCAAGTTACTAAAATGTAAAAAAATTGGGTTTCTATGTAAATAAATAAATACTTTTGTTTTGACTGTATGGGTAGATAACATTTTGAATTCGTTCATTTGCAGAGGGTAGGCTGCAACTAAGGATTCTTTAATTACAGGTTTTAAAGGTTAATTTTTCTTATCTGTATTGCAGGTGGACGTCCAAATGCTAAAATTACTTTTGTTTTGACTGTATGGGTAGATGAAATTTTGAAATCATTTGCAGAGGGTAGGTGGCAACTAAGGATATTTTATTTACAGGTTTTATAGGTTAATAAGTCTTATTTGTACTGCAGGTGCGCTCATTTTTAATTATAATGCGTCACACTGATAGTGTCTCTCTGATTCTAGTTTAGATAATCAGTCATTATTTAATGACAGGTTTTACAGGTTAATAAGTCTTATTTGTACTGCTAAGGATGCTTTAATGACAGGTTTTACAGGTTAATAAGTCTTATTTGTACTGCTAAGGATGCTTTAATGACAGGTTTTACAGGTACATATGTCTTATTTGTACAGCAGGTGGACGTCCGAAGGTAGAGTCCCGAATATCAGTCGAGGAGCTGCGGGCCAAGTTCAAGACTCAGATGTCTCTCCCCGGCAGCAGAGACGTACATGAGGACACTAAACTTATTGATCCCATGGATGAGGTGTGAACTGTATTACTTTTAAACAGATTCTAATTAATATTTTTTAATATTATATAAATTTTTTAATTTTAAATATAGTTATAATATAATATTCTATTGTAGTTCTATAAATTTTTTAATTGTAAATATATAATATACCGTAAAATGGGGTTACTTTGACCGGCGGGGTAACTTTGACCACTTTTCGTTTTTTTAACAAAAACCCCCAAAACTCAAAAACGATTCAACATTGTTACAGTAATTGTCTGTGTTACAGTAATTGTCTGTGTTACAGTAATCATGCACAAAAACTGTGAACTCAAAACCTATGTACGTATAATGCATATATTTGAAAAAACTTTATTGTGTACATTTCAATTTATCTTCCATGTTTAATATCATAGATAATTTTAATATCATCTACTATTCTTTATTCGTATCTGAATATCACTCTTCTCTATTATGTTAATATCGATTGTCTAGTTATGTTATAGAAGTTCAAATTCTACTACTTGTATGTTTTTGCTTTGAAAATCTCACGTTTCAAAAATTTTATGTGCCCAATTTTTTCTTCTCTCTGAATTTTGAAATTATTAATAGTTTATAATAAATTTTTAACTTTGATTTATGAATTTTAACTTCCTATACGTGTGTATTCAATTGATCTTCTCCGTTCATGTGTCTTCTCTATGAATTTCAAAATAAATAATAGTGTATCATAAATTTTCACTTTGATTTATGAATTTTACCTTCCTATATGTATTTCTTTGATTGGTCTTCTCCATTGAAATGCATTTGTTCTCTATGAATTTCAAAATAAAGAATAGTTTCTAATAAATTTAAACTTAGATTTATGTATTTTAACACGTTGACTCCGAAGTGGTACATATGCGTACCGTAAAATGGGGTAACTTAGACCACTTTTTTTTATAAATGATGCCATTTTTTTACTAGCTAAATTAAACTTGAATTGAAACATGCAAAATGCCCCCCATTTGCAAACTATGACACTTTCCTAAAATTTGTCATTTGCATATGTAACTAGAAGAGTTCTACTACAATGCATCAAAACCTGGAGTTATTTAACCAAAAAATAAAAAAATTGGAGGGGGTACTCTGACAAGCTTTAAATAATAGCTTTTTTTCATGGGTCACATTTTTAATTTTTCAACCTATTAGATATGCAAACTTTTCAAATCTTTCTATTCTGTTATTTGGCCTCAGTATTAGGCCTTTAATGCCCATTGACAAAATTTTTCTATGTCAAATAGTTTTTGAGTTGTGGGGGTTTTTGTTAAAAAAACGAAAAGTGGTCTAAGTTACCCCGCCGGTCTAAGTTACCCCATTTTACGGTACCATGAAATGTATTTCTCCAGGAGGTAGTGGTACATAATTAAGGTTGCCTAAAATCAGCCAACTTTGAGAACAAAAAAGGCCAAAAAAGGCCGACAACTCAATATATACTAGTTTGTTTGTAGGTTTTGCTATAAAAATTACATATATTTTCTTTTTGCAACGTTTAAAATTTAATTAGGAAGTACCCCAATCAAAAATTTTACTTGCTGGCCAATGCAATTAAGAAAAGCAAAATCATGGAATTTGTCGGAAAAAAGGTCCGCCTGGCAACCCTGCTTAAAAACAGTACAAGAAAATGAAATAATAGTACAAGATGAAGCAATCGTAGTCAACGTGTTAACTTTCTTATATGTTCATATTTGACTGATCTTCTCCATTGAAATGCATTTGTTCATGTGTCTTATCCATAAATTTCAAAATAAATAATAGTTTATCATTAATTCAACTTCGATTTATCTATTTCAACTTCCTATAAGTATATTTGATTGATGTTCTCAATTACAATGCATTTGTTGACGTGCAGTGCGTGAAATATCTGGGGAAGCAGCGCGGGCAGACGGGCGTGGTGTACGACCTGGCGATGGCAGAGCCGCGGTGTCTCTGGGACCCTGAGTACCCCGAGTGTCCTGAGCGATACACCTGTGTTATTAGCAGGTGATTGCAGCTGATGCTGGTACACCTGTGTTATTAGCAGGTGATTGCAGCTGATGCTGGTACACCTGTGTTATTAGCAGGTGATTGCAGCTGATGCTGGTACACTTGTGTTATTAGCAGGTGATTGCAGCTGATGCTGGTACACCTGTGTTATTAGCAGGTGGCTGCAGCTGCAGCTGGTCTAGAATATCTCGCAGTAAAGCGTGCACAAGTAACAACAGTTTGTTTTGAAGCGAATAAAATCTGCAGCCATGGCAGAGGAAACATTCCTTGTATAAGTTCAATTTTGAGTCCTCAATCTCCATCATTAAAAGCTTAATACTTTCTGGAATTCGAATTAAAGATATTTTGAGCATATACGTGATATAAATGTTATTGAAAGAAGTTATAGTTTCATGTGTACAATTTTAATACGGTAGTCTTGAATATAAACAATTTCCATTCAAAACCAGAAAAAATACATAACCATTCAAATTATATTTTTTACCTCAAATGTTTGCAGTACCACTGCTAAAAAAAATGTTATAATTTCATGTGTACAATTTAATATTATTGAATATAAACAATTTCAATTTAAAAGCAGAAAAACCCATAAGCATTTCAAATTATATTTTTATCCCAAATGTTTGCAGTACCACATGCTAAAAATTTTGTTCAGGAATTCAACAATGAATAATTTTATGTATTTTCGTAGATGTGAAGAGCTCGGGCTGCTGGATCGGTGTTTGGAACTATATAAATATATTTATAAACTATAAAAATATAAATAAATATATTTATCTCACAACTAAAAATTTCTGAAATTCAGCAATGAATAATTATGTTTTCGTAGATGTGAAGAGCTCGGGCTGCTGGATCGGTGTTTGAGGATCCCCGCGAGATCTGCACGCAGGGAAGAGATCCTCGCTCTGCACTCGCAAGCTCTGCACGATCTGGTGGAGAGCACGGCTGGAGAAACTGACCTGGAGAAGCTGGAGGAGATCAGCTCCATGTACAACTCCATTTATTTACACCCTGTAAATCCTTATATGCTTTTGTAATAGTCTTCTTTGGCATAAAATTAGTTTACATGATTTTTAAAGCTGTGTCATTTGCTTATGCATGGTGAGACTAACTAATATACGTAGGTATTGATATTACTAGTTATTAATTTGATTAATAACTTTTAATAGTTACTACTAATAACTATTAATATTAATTAATTTGAAGCTAAATAACTGATGAGTTACCAGCAATTGTATGTCTGCTGCTGTTGGATACCCAAGTCAACAAATGATGTTTTAGCTTAGTTGCAATAATCTTAATAAGGTGTAGATAATCTTTATAAGGTGTAGATAATCTTTATAAGGTGTAGATAATCTTTATAAGGTGTAGATAATCTTTATAAGGTGTAGATAATCTTTATATATTTAGTCTGTCTGTGTATTGGCTGTAAAATAAATAAGAGTGCAGTATACGTGGTGTTGAAAGTATTGCCTCCTTTTTATAATTAATATTTTTTGTTGGTAAACTTTGTTGTGGTTTGCCACAACAAAGTTTACTAAAGCAACTGCTACACGAGACTTCTGATTTAATAACTGCAACACCTGTAGCCATTATTTACTAACCATTCACGTGTAAAGTTGCTATGGCTTGCTAAGACATACATATAATATTTGAAATTTCTCAAATGATGTCTGAGTAAGATGAATGTTTAGTTCTTATCAGTGAATGTCTAGTCCTTATCACTGAATATTTTATCCTTATCACTAAATGTCCTATCCTTATCACTGAATATCTTATCCTTATCACTGCATATCTTATCCTTATCACTGAATATCTTATCCTTATCACTGAATATCTTATCGTTATCACCGCATATCTTATCGTTATCACCGCATATCTTATCCTTATCACCGCATATCTTATCGTTATCACTAAATATCTTATCACTGCATGTCTTATCCTTACCACCGAATATCTTCTCCTTATCTATGAATGCCTTATCCTTATCTAGTTATGTCCAGACGTTATCTATAAATGTCTTGTTCTTATCTATGAATCTCTAGTCTTATCACCGAATATCTTATCGTTATCGCGGTGTTGCAGAAGACGAGTGCGGCGGCGGCCCTGGCGGCAGGCGGCTGCGTGGACCTCGTGACGGCCGTGGTGCAGGGCGCCGTCCATAACGGCATGGCCATCGTCAGGTGCACTGATGGGGACTTAGCTGGGGGCTGTGATGGGGACTTTGTTGGGGGGATGGGGGCTTTGCTGGGGGCTTTGCTGGGGGCTTTGCTGGGGACTTTGCTGGGGGCTTTGCTGGGGACTTTGCTGGGGACTTTGCCAGGGGCTTTGCTGGGGACTTTGCCAGGGGCTTTGCTGGGGACTTTGCTGGGGGCTTTGTTGGGGGCTTTGCTGGGGACTTTGCCAGGGGCTTTGCTGGGGGCTTTGCTGGGGGCTTTGCTGGGGACTTTGCCAGGGGCTTTCCTCTACACCATTCTACTCCTGTCCAGTTTATACTTTTGCAGTCCATTTTCGAAGCTCATGCTCTGTACTTCTAATATATATCCGTACCGGTACCATATATACGGTATATCCTTCTTAGTATACTTATATATTGTAGAATATTTCGTAGTTACAAAGGATTTTGAAAACGCGACTTCTTATTACATTCATATTTAAATCAATTTTAGAAACAAACGGGTAAAATTAGGATAAACTAGTATTGCAAATGTGATAATTAAGCTCAGTAAAATATTTTATTTCGACTATAAACATATCATTTATTTCGACACACGTACCAAATATTTCCCTTGACCAGGTAATTCGAGAGCCAGCATCCAAGTGATTCCTATCCATAAACTAAAATCGACTATGGTTCTGCTGCGCATGATACGCACGCACCAGACGGACAATATTTTCAAAGGAACCTAATATTTAACATATATCTTTTATGTATCATTCTTGTATATAGTTCTGCATGTATTTTTTGTGTACTATCAATTCCATATTTTATTCATGTGTAATACTGGATAGTTTCTTTCTTATAAATAGTTCTGCATTTATTTTTCTGTGTATCAATTCCGTACTTTATTCATGTGTAATAACAGACCATTTAAATATATCCTTCTTATAAATAGTTCTGCATGTATTTTTTGTGTATCAATTCCACATTTTTTTCATGTGTAATACCGGACCGTTTTCTTCTTATAAATAGTTCTGCTTGTATTTTTTGTGTATCAATTTTGTATTTTACTCATTTGTTATACCGGACCGTGCAGACCCCCCGGGCACCACGCCATGCGGGACGCGCCCTGCGGCTACTGCTACTACAACAACGTTGCCCTCGCCGCCCGCCACGCCCTCGACAACCTCGCCGTCAGGAGGATACTCATCGTAGACTGGGACGTGCACCACGGACAGGCCACGCAGCAGATGTTCTATGATGACTCTAGGTAGGCTGTAGTGTCCTGCACCACGGACAGGCCACGCAGCAGATGTTCTATGATGACTCTAGGTAGGCTGTAGTGTCCTGCACCACGCAGCAGATGTTCTATGATGACTCTAGGTAGGCTGTAGTGTCCTGCACCACGCAGCAGATGTTCTATGATGACTCTAGGTAGGCTGTAGTGTCCTGCACCACGGACAGGCCACGCAGCAGATGTTCTGATTTATGAACAAATTAATAATGAATTAGTATTTTAGGAAGCGCTACATGTTACATGCTCTTACATCCTGTACCTCCTGCAAAATGTTGTCCCTGCAGAGTGCTGTACTTGCAGAGTGCTGCTTGATTTCCTTAGTATTTGTTTGGGACGTAGCAGTCCCAGGCCACGACAGTCGTCTCTTGAAGGTCTCCAGGGTGAACTCCCCCTCTCTTAGATCCTTTGATAGGACGTTAAACTCTGCTGTACTTGCAGAGTGCTGTACTTCTCCGTGCACCGCTACGAGTACGGTTCCTACTGGCCAGAGCTGAGGGAGAGCGACTACGACTACACTGGGGGCGCCGGTGCTGAGGGATACAACTGCAATGTCCCTCTGAACGCCACGGGGCTCGGCAACGAGGAATACCTCAGCATATGGACGCAGCTGTTGCTCCCTATGGCTTATGAGGTGACATATGGGCGCAGCTGTTGCTGCCTATGGCTTATGAGGTGACATATGGACGCAGCTGTTGCTCCCTATGGCTTATGAGGTGACATATGGACGCAGCTGTTGCTCCCTATGGCTTATGAGGTGACATATGGACGCAGCTGTTGCTCCCTATGGCTTATGAGGTGACATATGGACGCGGCTGTTGCTGCCTATGGCTTATGAGGTGACATATGGACGCAGCTGTTGCTCCCTATGGCTTATGAGGTGACTTATGTCGCCTATTCATACAGTAATATTGTTCAAGTAACTATACCTCATATTATTACTTGTTAATGAACATTATTTTAATAACCAAGTATTAAGCCAAAGTAATCATGTGTAATAGTCATTCTGTTCTAATGATATACAATAATATAATTGATATATACAAATAATTTAGCAATGTTTGAGCCCAATTCACTCACTTGTGCTGCGTTTCATATACTCAACTCAGCATTCTATGTTCATTTTTTTCAAACAATGCAAACATTTATTTATTCATTTATTTATTTAATCATTTATTTAATTATTTATTTGCAAACTAATGCAAACATTTTTCTGTGCCATTTGCATTACAATTTTTGAAGATGATGCATGTTTTCAGTTAGCAATGCTGTCATATTGCCATGAATATTTTAATATTTTTTGAATTTTGTTTGTGAATTGATTTTTTCAACAGAAACTTCAGTATTATTGAATATTTTTGTCTGACTTTAATATTTTTTGGAATATTTTTTGTGTAAATTCAATTTTTTATGGAAACTTTCAGTATTATTGAATGTTTTGTCTGATTTTAATATTTTTTAAAATATTTTTTATGTGATTTAAATTTTTTATTGAAAATTTCTGTATTATTGAATATTTTTTTGAATACTTTTGTAAAATTTGGGCAATGTGTGTGACTGAGTCGCCCTCTGGCAGTTGCTGCATCTTCATCCAGTCGAGCTGTCTTTAAATTAATATTTTAATATTAATATAATATTAAAATAATTTTATATATATATATATAATACATATTCATATATTTATATTAATATATAATATAATTATAAATATATTTTAATATTAATATAATTATATTAAAATAATATTATATATGTATAATATATTAATATAAATGTTTACACACGTGCGATTGGTGACCAGAGAATTCGTTGGTTTATATTATGAGGGAGTGGAACTTTTCTTCAGATGACGGTAGATAAAAAAGTCAAGTTTCAGGAAGTAGTTTTTCTTTATTAACGACGTTTCGAATGCAACAAACATTCATTTTCAAGTTAGAAGAAGCATTAAACATTGAAATTTGAAATATAAACCGACGAATTCTCTGGTCATCAATCGCACGTGTGTAAACAAGTAAATCCTGCCATCTAATAATAATATAAATGTATATATAATATATTAATAATGTTTATATTTATTGTTGTGTCTTTATATTAATAAATAACTTGGCTAATATATAATTCACGCACCGTTCTTCACATTGTCTTGCCTGTCCAGGGAAACTGATGACAATTTTCGACATGACGAAAGTCTTAAATCTGAATTTTTAATACAGTTTTAGCTGAAAAATGATCGATTGAAAAATTCTAATTAAATGGCATGGTTCTCTCGTAGATTTTCTTACGGAATCCCTGAAGCTAAATTTTTTAAGCGTGGAACTAATTTTTTGACCGTGACTTTGTCATGTCAAAAGAAAATTCTGAACCAGGAGTGCATTATTACTAATGTTGACTCACACCACCTTCCCTAACAGCTTCGCTAATTATCGGTTAGCGGATTAGCGGACTGTACACACCACTTAATAACATTGTGCCGTCTCAGCAACATTGATAAGACATGTGTTTGTGTCGGGCTTGTGTTGCAGTTTTGTCCTGACTTGGTGCTGGTGTCGGCAGGATACGACGCTGCGCTAGGCTGCTTTGAGGTGCGTTCTTCCGTGTAACTTTTCTTGGTAGAAACTTTTCTTGGTGGAAACTTTATACTTCTTGGTAGAAACTTATACTTCTTGGTGGAAACTCTTATCTTCTTATTTGAAACTCTTCACTCTTAATTGAAAACTTTAGTTGCTTCTTAATGGGAACTGTTGACTTCAAATGGAAACTCTAAGTTGCTTTTTAATGTGAACTCTTAACTTCATAATGGAAGTCAAGAGTTTGCACTACTGGCTTGTGGTAGTACGCTAATACCTGCTGATGGTTGCTTGTGGTGGCACTTACATCATTTGGTCGCTTAAACCGCAAGTTTGTCATCAAGTTGAAAACAAAGAAAACCTCGAAAAAATTGCGGAAATTTGGTGCCTTTGCTCTGTTGTTGCAAATTCTTGTTTGTTGCAAATTCCGGTTTGCTTGTAATAATTGGTATAGGTTGTTGATAGTGATAGTTTTATGCTGTAGACTTGAGACTTTAAGTCGTTAAGGCAGTTTGTTAGTGCATTGAATGATGTACATACTAGTACCTGTTTATACTACGTATAGTGCCTGTTTATACTAGTACATGTTTATACTAGTGCCTGTTTATACTAGTACCTGTTTATGCTAGTACCTGTTTATTCTAGTACCTGTTTATGCTAGTACCTGTTTATTCTAGTACCTGTTTATGCTAGTACCTGTTTATTCTAGTACCTGTTTATGCTAGTACTTCAGTATACTAGTATATACTTGAATGTTATTGATATTGACGCCATTATTGATATTGATAACATTTATTGATATTGATAACATTATTGATATTGATAACATTATTGATATTGATAACATTTATTGATATTGATAACATTATTGATATTGATGACCTCAATACGGTTATGGCAGTTTACGGTTAAGGCTACGATAACGGCTATGTTTATGGTTATGGCTACAGTTACAGCTACGTTTACGGTTACATTTGCAGTTACGGCTACGTTTACAGTTACGGCTACAGTTACGGCTACGGATTCGGTAACGGTTATTATAAAGTGCGATAACCAAAGGTTGAAGACTTTGTTGGTTTATTGATTGTGGTCATGTTGACAGGTAGTTCTTTGTGTGTGTTTGAAGTTTCGTTAGTAGTTGGCTGAAACATGGATGCTTAGCGATATTGTGGAGTTTTATCCTTCCAGTTTAATTCTTTATCCTTCCAGGGTTAAGACTTTTATTTCTAGCAGCTGGAGCCGGTCTACATCGTCGCTTTTAAATCTTTATTCATTCTTTATTCATTTATTACTGATAGCGCCATGGTTCTAGATGATGTTAATGATAGCGTCATGGTTCTAGATGATATTACTGCCAGCGTCATGGTTCTAGATGATATTACTGCCAGCGCCATGGTTCTAGATGATATTAACGATAGCGCCATGGTTCTAGACGATATTAATGATAGCGCCATGGTTCTAGACGATATTAATGATAGCGCCATGGTTCTAGACGATATTAATGATAGCGCCATGGTTCTAGTTCTGTCCAGACCTGGTTCTTGTGTCCGGAGGATACGACTCCGCTCTGGGCGATGAGAAGGCAAGTCGTTGTACTTATTATTTCGCTCATTTCTACTAACGCTCTTTATAGTGTGAATTAAAGTAAATTTCAGCGTCTTTTTAGGGCGGCTTTTCATCAGAAACTGTGATTTTTTTAAACTCAGATTTGACAGAAACTAGGAAAGATGTATTACCCTTTTGTTAGGTGAAGTCTACATCTTTTGAATGCCTTGTTAGAAGTTTATATTTAAATTATACATCCATCTTGCACCGTTTTCCTAGCATCCGAGAAAATTACACCCGTTTTTGCAGCGAAATCAAAATAATACCTCTATTATTCTCTTTGCTTGAAGTCTATGGTAAAATTAATGCATGGCATGAAAATTGATGCTGAATTTATACGTCAGAAATTCTTTCCGTCTTGTGCAGCGTTGGTTGTTGTGGTCTTTCTACACTCATTGAATTTATGAGACTTTAGCCTATAGCGATGCACTTTGGCCTCGGACTAGCCTCGACTCTGGCACTAGTTGTGGACTAGCCTCAACTCTGGCGCTAGTTAAGAGTTAGAACTACCTTGGGATTATCGTATAAACATTTTATGGACCACTGTTTTATCTTGCTATCGGTGGGAGGTACATTATCTATTGTTGCATTCACACAAACAAGAACGTAGATGCTATAGTATGTTACTCACTTCCTTGAAGGCATCGTAACAGACAGGCTGAGCCAACCTGGGTTCAATAAGGTCAATATTCTTTAAAAGTAAGCTTGAATCTGCGTGCTTGGTCATTTGGGTTCAACAAGCTTTGGGTTCAACTAAACCAAGAAATTGAGGCTTCATTGCATGTGAAGGTGGCCACACGCGAATATTTCATGCAGCCTCTTGATTATTCTTGTTATTTCCGTGCTTAAAATAAGGCAAAGTTCATCTAAAACATCAACTAGTTAGTGAGCTCTTGCATTGGAAGTGCATATATAGGGCAGCGCGAATGCCACACTATAGGTTTATTAGTATAGTATATACATTTGTGTAGGTTTATTAGTATAGTATATACATTAGTTTAGGTTTATTAGTATAGTATATACATTAGTGTACGTTTATTAGTATGGTATAGTCATTATTATAGGTTTAATAGCATAGTATAGTCATTAGTACAGGTTTATTAGTATAGTATATACATTAGTTTAGGTTTATTAGTATAGTATATACATTAGTTTAGGTTTATTAGTATAGTATATACATTAGTTTTGGTTTATTAGTATAGTATAGTCATTATTATAGGTTTATTAGTATAGTATATACATTAGTTTAGGTTTATTAGTATGGTATAGTCATTATTATAGGTTTAATAGCATAGTATAGTCATTAGTATAGGTTTATAAGTATAGTAGATACATTAGTATAGGTTTGCTAGTATAGTATATACATTAGTTTAGGTTTATTAGTATAGTATAGTCATTAGTAAAGGTTTATAAGTATTATAGTATGTACATTAGTATAGGTTTATTAGTATAGTATACACGTTAGTGTTGGTTTATTACTTATTAGTATAATATAGGTAGTCATTATATAGGTTTCGGACCGTACAGCCCCAGGCCAGTATTCTGATAGCTTAGCATCAGGTCAAGTTTTCTGTAGTTTTATGTAACTTGATAAATTTTGTGTACTTGTTTGTTTGCCTAGATCTGTGTATTGATTTCACATCTCATGCATGCATTGTTTGGTTTTTTGATGTCTTGTCTTGTGGTTGGAAGGTAATTATATAATGCATGAACCCGTAATTATAATTTTCCACTTTTGAATTGATCTTTTATTATTTTTTTTCCACTTCTGAATTGATATTTTATTATTTTTCACTCTTGATACATGCTAGATTTCAAGTTAATCATCAATAATATGTAGATGAATAAATTATTTAACTTTCTGCATGCCTTTCTTTTAATAGAGACTTCCATTAATTTTAAAAATGTATTTAATCTCATTCTTCATTTCTGTTCATCAATTCGATACTTTAACTGCACTAGCTTCCTTATTATATTGTTGTTGCAAATATATCATACTAGAACTTGAATATATGAATATATTGAAGATATCTCTCAATTTGGTTGAAATACATCTATTATGCGAGTTTGCTATTTTGATCATTTTAGTTAACAATGTTGAACAATATTTTGAAATAGCAATGATATAAATAGCGTTGTTCAAGTATATCAGGATAACAATAATCATGACAAGACACCAACAATAAGACCCCAATAATAATAATCACGATAAGACCCCGATAACAATAATCGCGATAAGACCCCAATAATAATAATCACGATAAGACCCCGATAACAATAATCGCGATAAGACCCCAATAATAATAATCACGATTAGACCCCGATAACAATAATCACGATAAGACCCCGATAACAATAATCGCGATAAGCCCCGATAACAATAATCGCGATAAGACCCCGATAACAATAATCGCGATAAGACCCCGATAACAAAAATCACGATAAGACCCTGATAACAATAATCACAATAAGACCCCGATAACATTAATCACGATAAGACCCTGATAACAATAATCACAATAAGACCCCGCGATAACAATAATCACGATAAAACCCCGATAACAATAACCACGATAAGACCCCGCGATAACAATAATCACGATAAGACCCCGATAACAATAATCACAATAAGACCCCGATAACAATAATCACGATAAGACCCCAACAATAAGACCACGATAACAATAACCACGATAAGACCCTGATAACAATAATCACGATAAGACCCCAACAAATCACGATAAGACCCTGATAACAATAATCACGATAAGACCCCAACAATAAGACCACGATAACAATAATCACGATAAGACCCCAACAATAAGACCACGATAACAATAACCACGATAAGACCCTGATAACAATAATCACAATGAGACCCCAACAAATCACGATAAGACCCTGATAACAATAATCACGATAAGACCCCAACAAATCACGATAAGACCCCAACAAGAAGACCCTGATAACAATAATCACGATACGACCCCAACAAATCACGATAAGACCCTGATAACAATGATCACGATAAGACCCCAACAATAAGATCCCGATAACAATAATCACGATAAGACCCCAACAAATCACGATAAGACCCTGATAACAATGATCACGATAAGACCCCAACAATAAGATCCCGATAACAATAATCATATAATCACGATAAGACCCCAACAATAAGACCCCGATAACAATCACAATAAGACCCCATCAATAAGACCCCGATAACAATAATCACGATAAGACCCTGATAACAATAATTACGATAAGACCCCGATAACAATAATCACGATAAGACCCCAACAATAAGACCCCGATAACAATTATCATGACTAGACCCCAACAAGAAGACCCCGATAACAATAATCACGATAAGACCCTGATAACAATAATCACGATAAGACCCCGATAACAATAATCACGATAAGACCCCAACAATAAGACCCCGATAACAATTATCATGACTAGACCCCAACAATAAGACCCCGATAACAATGATAAGACCCCCCCCAGGGTCTGATGCGCGTCACCCCCGCCCTGTACTGCCAGCTGACGGCGCTGCTCATGCCGCTGGCCGCCGGCAAGCTCGCTGTCATGCTCGAGGTTGGTGACACTCAATAAAATGGGGAAATGTTGTCCAAATACGGAAGCAATTCTTGTCAGGTCATTATTATTATATTATTATTTATATTATTTTTATTATTTGTGTTATTATTTTTATTATTTATATTATTTTTATTACTTATATTATTATTTTGCCACCAAGAATGAACGCATCAGCGTTACGTGCAAAGTGTGTCACTGCAGAACAATGATGTGTTGATGTGATGATGTGTTGATGTGATGATGTGATGATGTGTTGATGTGTTGATGTGATGATGTGTTGATGTGATGATGTGTTGATGTGGTGATGTGTTGATGTGGTGATGTGTTGATGTGTTGATGTGATGATGTGTTGATGTGATGATGTGTTGATGTG